CTTGACTTGATCGACTAATGACACGCGCTCATGGATCTGGCGAGGAGGGGTTCGTGGTCCGGGGCGCCATGGTTGGCAGAGTTCCGGCACGACACTCCCTGGAAGGCAGGAGCAGGGTATGCATGGGTTTGGTCCCACTTGTCCATCCATCGTGGACGAGCTACTGCCTTGCAGCAAGACGACGAAGCGGTGTGTTGAACAACGGAGATGTTTTGAAGCATGATCGGTAACATACCTTGAGACTAGCTCGTCTCAAGGTTAGCCCAGGCTGACTTAATGACAGGTAATGGAAGCATGCGGCAGTGCCGGGATCAGCGCGCGCTCCAGCCCTGGCTGCGGTCGATCTCTGTGAGTCGGCCTCATGGGACACTGGCGGGTGGCAGGCAGCCTTGTTCCTCGATGTTGTCCACCATCGGCTGCACAAGCATCGGAAAGCCGGGCTATGTCGTTGACCTTGATGTTCGGTTGAGTGTCACTGTTGCCTACCGACCGATCTCAGATGGTTGTGTGAAGTGATCTGATGAAGTTGCCTTAAGGTATGCGAAACCTGGAAAGTCTGCCTTGGCAAGTGTGGGTTGCCAGGATGCTCTGCTCGCCTCGGGGGGTACCTTACCTGAAGCTTATTGCAGCTGGCTTGCGATTGGACAGTTGACTTTGCCGGCTGATCATCGGATCCCACGTCACAGTACCTGAGAACCCGGTGCAAGTGCCTGTAGTTCGCCAGCAAAGGTGGGGGAGGGGGAGGGTGACGCCTGTGCCAGGTTCCCATTCCATAGGCACCATCTTGGGGATGTCGGACGAACGGCCGCTCACCTTTCGGTTGGATAAGGTGTTCTTGCTGCCTAGGCACCTACCTACCTAGGCAAGCTAGGCAAGCTAGGTACTTGGGTCACCATTTTCCCACAGCTTCGGTGCAAGACAGCCCGTCATACCCCCTTTCCAACAGCCGCGACACCCACCATCCGCTACACTCGCCAGGCAACTACTTTTCGGTTCTCGGCGATCCCGCTCTGATTTCGTGTACCCTGGGTCCTGAGTGGTTGACATCCGAAGTCGTGCTCCAGAAGATCTTGGTGTGTCTCCCCTGCTCCTTGTCATCAAGTTCGCCAGCAGGAATATCCGTCGAATCAACTTCGTTGTTTCCAGCGAAACCGCCGAAAGGGCGTGACATATGCCTTCGATTAGGACTGGCAGCAACGTCACCAGACAGCGAGGGAGGGTTGTCCTTTCGAATCGGAGCCATTCAGTATCTGATCTGAGACAAGGCAAGGCTCTCGACGCCTAGACCCTCCCAGCGCAAATGTCTAAGAACCCCAGGCTCATTCTTCTGGCTACTCCAACGCTCAGCCTGGTGCCGCCAGTGGATGGATGACAGCCAACGCCTGCCAGTGTAACCGGGATAGGCTGTGGTTCGTAACAGCATGGCTCCCGCTGCAGCCGCTGTCACAGCAGGCTGCAGGAGGCAGTCAGCCACCACGCGACCCTGCTTACCCCTGGCGTTGGCCCTCATCCTCCGGAGCTCTACCAAATGGACGGGCCTTAGTCAAGCTGACCGATACACACATCACACACGCTCGTGGCGCCGCAGGGCCCTTCTTCGTGCCTTTTCGTCGTTGATTTAAGCTTTAAAGTGTTAGACAATCGGCCCGTTACCAAAGAAAGGCCCGAAGATGGAGGTTTTGATCGTCTTCTGGTAGGATCAAACGTCCCGTACGCACAGGAGAGGCTTGTGAGATACCGGTAGCGTCGGCCCCACTCAGCGATACCACTGCGCCGGGCCGGAGGTGACGTTTGTTCTCGGCCCTCCGCCTGACATCTAATCGCGCTATACAGCGAGTCCTGGAATTCGAGGTCCCAAATGACGGCAACCACGCAATCCTACATGCTCGCCTCGAATGGATCCCCGTTACCCTCTCATTTCGTACTGCTGCGTTCGCCAATGCAAGGTCTCGCTTGCCCGGCCTGGCCACAGCCCGTAAGCAACTTCAAAGTTTGTCCGACTCGCCTGCCGAGGCCTATGTATTGTCATTATGGCACCTGATTGGGTACAGGGCGCAGCAATCCCTTCACGTACCCTGGCTACCTCGTTTGTGACGTGCCTCAAAGCTTCCTGACGGTCAAAGAGGGTGTTATCAGTTCTGGGCACCGTCCGTGTGACTCTCCGCGGAAGCCTGCTCCCGGAAATGCCGGAGCCTAAGGTCTTACGCCTTGTTCGCTAAGCGAGAGGCGAGGCATTTGAATCCGAGTACTGGATTTGGTGCGCGTTGGAGGATCGCAAACGTGGCAACAGCCGGCGGCTTGGACATCCGGCCCCCCAATCAACCCTACCTTCTTGTTGAAATTGGAGGGCAGTCTATGGGACTGAAGGGTTCAGCTCTGACATCTCATGCATCAGGTGTAGAGATCATGCCAGCAGATGGACCAAACAAAGGTACAGGACTGAAGTGGCCTCGGGGCTTCCGTATCTGTTGGATCATAGTCGCAGGCGAAAGACGCAAGCTGCTGCTCGCAACCAGGGAATGGACCCATTCACAACCACTTCTTCGACATTGACCGTGTTACCCGTCGGGAGATTCTTGAGATACCCATCACAATCTATTGGTTTGGGGGCTGTTGTGGAAAGCCCGCGTGACATTTGTTCGCCATAGCTAAGCTCGGGATTGACCAAGAGGACACCAAAGGGGCTCCCGATGAAGGAATGGCCTAGAGCAACATGCCCCTGCCACATAACACACTTCTGTCAATCCAGTAATATCGAAATCCTCTTTCTCAAGGTAAGAATACACGGAGCATGATTCTTGTGGGGTTAAGAGCCAGGATGGTGAATGCTGGCACGGCAAGACCTACCTACGGTGTAGGTTTTGATAGGGTACTTGTCACAGGGAGAAAGCTAGACGAGCTCCTCGACACCAGGCCCCCGCAGTCAGTGAACAAGTCGGTGGTAGTTTCGAGACAGCAGAGATGTTCGAGGTGATATGCCGTTGACCCCAGGCCTGGTATTTTACATAGTGACAAGGTTATGGTACAATCCATCTCTACACAAGGCTCAACCCCTTCGGCTGGCCTCGATCTCCGCCTTGCGCTGGGCGATGCGCTTCTTGTAACGGACCTCGGTCCTCCTCCTCTCACCACCATCCACCTTGATACCCTGTCTATGCTCCCACATGCCCTCGACGACCTGCACCTTTGCGCCGTCACCGGCCTTCAGGGGTAGCGCATAGGGGCCCGTGATCGCACTGGCGCCGCGCACCTGGTACCCTCGAACGCGCTCGCCCGGGCCTTGTACGGTGCCGTCCGCCTTCTGGCCCGCCGGAACGTTGATGACCCACTTGCCGTCTTGTGCTTCGGTGGTCGCAACCTGGAGATACGCCTCGCCATTCTCAACGTGCTTGAAGTCTCCGCCGGGGCCGAGGGCGCCCTGCCTGTAGCGCTCGAGCCAGGCGAGAAGGTAGCGGCGTGTGCGTGGCGGCTCGATGCCCAATTCCTTCATCTGCATCGAGTCGGAGGTGAAGAGGGAGTTCCACGTGGGAAACTTCTCGGCGTATTGGCTGAGGCCGCGGCCGAGGACCTTCAGGAGCGTCGGGACATCGGGGACGAGAGGGACAGGCTGGGGAATTGCCGGCGTTGCTCGTTTAGAGGCCCATCGTAGTTGGCAGGTGTTGACTGTGGATACCCGCGGAGCAATTGAGCTCAGGGACGGGATTCGAAGCTGAGGAGCCTTCATCGTGGATCTGATGTCGCGTGGGTAGGTCAGATATGCGTCTAAGGAGAATGGCGGTCGAGTGTCAGCAGACGAACCGCAGAGGGCGCACCAGCTCGCTTTGACTGCCGAGTTTGCTCCGGAAGTAATTGCGATACAATGCCGCGAAGGGGTGGTCGAGGAAGGCGGAAGTGGATTATGATCGTAACGCCTGTCAAGCTGGATACCTTCAACCTCTGGGAATTTGCAGATCGGATTGGAAAGTTGAATTATGTAATCAGCACGGGACTGAGAGAACCCGCTTTCCGAACCAAGTGTGCAGACGGCCTAGGAACGCGCTTGGTTCGCGTCCAGCTTCTCGGTCAGTTCGGTGAAGTGACCCACTTGGCGACGCCACTACGGGAACCATTTGCCCCTCGGCGCGTTGGAAAGAGATGTTATCGATAAGAGAAGGCAGCCGACAGCCTCGTAGCTGCCTTGTGAAGGAAGAATGAAGGACGACGTTTCATGCCATTCACCTCATCCTTCCAGTGAAATGATATAGAAAGGAGGCCATCAACCGACAAAAGTTAACGAAATGGCGCCGTAATATGTTTAGTGTTGACGCGCCCCCTGTCTCCACGGCTGTGCGTACCTGCACCCCCACGACGCTGTGATGCCGGCCTCCAAGTCAAAAGCCCGACTTCCCAAGCCGTTTCCTTTGGTTGACTTGAATGGTAAATTGAGACAGTCTCCCAGTTCAGTTCGATTTGATGTTGATGCCTGATTTTTAGATGAGATCCCTTCTGCTTTAATTGAGGCCTTAGTGGCCCTTCGCGCTTCCGACAGCGACGACGTCTTACGTGAACCGCCCTCGAAACGAGCAAAGCTGTCTCGTGACGACCCATTTCCAGCATATCTCATCACACGGCAAACACTTTCCATCTGTAGGCGGGCTGAGGAGACCCTGAACCTACTGGAGCCAGCAATTCGAAATGATGTCGGCAGCCACCTGCAGCTATCGTACGTGAGCAGCCAGTGGTCTTCGAAGCAACTGAAGCTGTCGGTACCATCCGCTGGTATCGCGGGCCGAGCGGCTCTTGCACTACGCCCTGATTCTGTCAGTCAGGCGTTGGGGGCGTGCATAAACATCCACAGCAAGGAATCAAGAGTTGACGAGGGCGCAATCTGGACAACTGTCGGCCTCCGGATCGAACGACAGGGTAAAAATGTACTGGTCGTATTCAATCTCGAGCTATACTGGAACGCGACCTTCTCTCCCTTCCGACTGCGTACGCCTCGTCAGCAGGAAACCAGTCAGATGGTTTTATCAACGTTTTTCAACAATGACGAGACAACAACAACAACAACGACAACCCAGGTCGCAGAAGCGACGTGGACACCCTTGGACTTCTATGAAGCTGCCTTCGTGCCTCCAGCGACAGATGGATCCGCATTGGCTATCGAAGTACCAGGTCTCAACGCGTCACTCTACCCCTACCAGAAGAGGACTTTGAAATGGCTGCTGCATCGTGAGGGTACGCGCTGGGTGCCTCCATCAAACGGATCAGCAGCGGGCTTGAAAAGCGTAGAGGAAACTGGGACTTTGCAGCCCGCTCGCAGTTTTGGGGAGATTTCAAGCCCCAGCAACGTGCAGTGGTATCTCAGTCACTTATACCATGCAATAACTCCCGAGACCTCAGCCTTCTTGAGCGCCGAGAAGGTGGTTAGAGGGGGCATTCTTTCAGAGGAGATGGGTCTCGGTAAGACTCTCGAAATTATTGGATTAATTCTGCTCCACAGGCGTCAACCCGCGAACGAGGATTCGTACCTTCATTTCAACAACGAGAGACTCGTCAAGAGCGGAGCTACGCTCATTGTTTGCCCCGAGTCTCTGAGACAGCAGTGGATGGATGAACTCGAACGCCATGCCCCCCATCTACTCGTCAGCTACTATCCTGGTCGAGCTCAATTTCGTAACCAAACCGAAGAGGAGGTGTTCCGAAACATGGCGGCACACGACGTCATTGTTACCACCTACAAGACGCTTACCGCCGAAATCCACTACGCAACAAAACCACCAGAGAGATCGAGGCGAAGAGAACGCGAATACGAGCGCCCCAAATCGCCCCTCACTCAGATCTCGTGGTGGAGGGTGTGTCTTGACGAGGCGCAGATGATCGAGACCGGCGTTAGCGCGGCTGCCCTGGTGGCACGCGTCTTGCATCGCGTTAACGCATGGGGAGTGACAGGGACACCTGTCAAGAAAGATGTACAAGACCTGTTAGGTCTTTTACTCTTCCTACGATTCGAGCCTTATTGCTCATCTCCCCAAGTTTGGAAAGCGTTGACCAAAAATCACAAGCCGTTGTTTCATAACCTCTTCCATGACATTGCGATACGGCACACGAAGAAACTCGTCAGAGATGAACTGGAACTCCCAGCTCAAAAGCGATTCGTCATTACGCTGCCCTTTACCGCCGTTGAAGAACAGCACTATCAATCAATCTTTGCCGAGATGGCCGAAGTGTGCGATGTCGATCTGGATGGAAATCCCATGTTGGCCGACTGGGATCCCAAGAGATATGAGGAAGCCATGAGGACTTATCTGAATCGCTTGAGACAGGCAGCGCTGCATCCCGAAGTCGGCGTTCAGAACCGCCGCGCTTTGGGTCACAGAGCAGGTCCCCTCCGCACCGTCGACGAAGTGTTGACTGCCATGATCGAGCAGAGCGATGCTTCGATTCGAACCGAACAACGAGCGTACTTCACCGCTAGACTCAACCATGGCCAACTGCTCGAAAACGGTCCTCTCGTCAAAGAAGCGTTGGTGATCTGGGACCAAACGAGGCGTGAAGTTGAAGAAGTGGTTGGGAAATGCCGGCAAGAGCTCGATGCTGCGATGAACGCTGCTAAAAGGACCATTTCTGAGAATGGATCCGTGTCCAACACGAATGGCACTTGTGATGAAGATGTTGTCGAAGGACTGGACGAGTATGTCTCAGACTTGGCCGAGCGCAGTGCACAGCTGACGACAATTTAGGTACCAAGCTAGCCCTGAGGTCGGCGAGGCTCTCATGCGTCTTCGATCAGCTTTAGAGGTCCAGCACCGAGCCATATTCTTCTGCGCAAATGCGCGGTTTCAGATCAAGTCCAACAGGGACTTTACTGAGCCTGACTCTGCCGAGTTCTCTGCACTGCAGAAGTTGGAAGAAGAAGGCTATGAAACGGCAAAAGGGGTACGACGAGAGATTTTGTCAGAGGTAAGGTAATATGGAATCTCTTTCTGGCAGGCACACTGATCCCTTTGAATAGAACCACAGGAAGGCCACGAAAGCAATGCGGAAGCTAGGGAATGACGCTGTGTCGCAGAACTTTGTTACAATACCAGAGCTGATCCCGAACCCGGTCAAGGGTTTGGAAAGCGCCACAGTCGTGGAAAAGGTCGAGGAGCTTTATGGCTTCTTGAACTTGCAAGCAAATCTTATTGACGAATGGAGAGAAGTCATCGTTGGTCTTCTCTTGCAACCTCTTGTGGACGAAGAAAATGAAACAGAAACAACAGGCGATGAGTTTGTCAATTCCACGGCAATACAAGAGCAACTAATGGTTCATGTTCAAGTGCTTCGAGCCACCATAGCGGATCGACAAGATGCCATCTCTGGCCTTCAGAATATGCTTGTCAAGCACGAGACTCAGACAACAAAGGCACTGGCCATGGACGGTGAGGGTCCTGCACCAAAGACCTTGATTGAGCTGCTAGACGTGCGAAATAAAGTCAAGCCATCACTAGAGAAGCACGGGTGTCTACGCGGCGCGATTGGGGAACTACGTGCGCTCGCCGCTAGACTCCCGCCGCATGAGCCTGGAAAGGATAGCAGAGCAAATATGGAGCATGCAGTGGTGAACAGGCAGATCAAAGATATCCAGGCCCAGATACAAGCCCAGACGAAAGCTTCTCAACGTCTGGAGCGGGAATGCGACGAGTTCACCAACGCCATGAACCTTCGGCTGGACTACTATCGTCAACTGCAGGCCATATCAGACAGCGTTGATGTTTATGAAGGACCAAAGACGCAAGATATCTTGGCGAAATGGGTCAATGCTGCAGAGACGGCTCACCGCAAGCTCTCATCCGCAGAAGCGAAGCAACGATATCGTAAGTCAACTCCTTGTACGGTTGGCTCACAGCGATGGTCTTCACGCTAGCACCCCTCATATCCCTACCTTTATTCTGGATTTGCATGTACTGACACAACTGTCGATACAGTTGTCAGCCTCCGAGACGGCGGAGCATCAAAAGCCAATGAGCCGAAGATGTGCATCATTTGCCAAACAGACTTCACAATCGGGGTTCTTACTGTTTGTGGTCATCAATTCTGCAAGCATTGCCTCATGCTCTGGTTCAAAGCGCACCACAACTGCCCCATGTGCAAACGAAAGCTCAAGATCACCGATCTCCACACCATTACACTCAAGCCAAGAGAATTGACTCTCCATACCGAAGATGTTCCAACGTCCACACCAGGAAAGAAACGCAGCGCAGCCCATAACAAATCAGCCATTTACTCGGAATTTGGCGCAGACAAGCTGGCACAGATTAGAGACGTTGACTTGGAAGGCCCACCCTTGACCACAAAGGTTGATTCCATTGTTCGACACCTGCTCTGGCTCCGAGAATCTGATCCGGGGGCTAAATCCATTGTTTTCTCCCAGTAAGAGTCGAAGCCTACCCCTCTTGGCACAGTCACTGACCACGCAGAAGATATCGAGACTTCCTACAAGTCATAGGGTCCGCACTCTCTCGGTCTCGGATCGGCTACACGTCGATCGACAAGCCCAATGGGGTCCAGCGTTTCAAAGAAGACGCGGGCTTGGAATGCTTCCTGCTCCATGGACGGGCCCAGTCAAGCGGCCTGAATCTCGTGAACGCCAGCCACGTCTTCTTATGCGAGCCGCTACTGAACACAGCGATAGAATTACAGGCCATTGCTCGTGTGGATCGGATAGGTCAACAGCACGAAACAACGGTCTGGCTGTACCTGATCGAAGGCACCGTGGAAGAGTCTATTTACAATCTTTCGGTCAAGAGACGCCTCCAGCATCTGAGCTCCGTCACCAAGGGAAAATCCAAAGATTCCACCCCCGACGTGTTGGAACCGACGCTCGAAGCTGCGAACACGTTCGAGATGGAAAATGCAAGCCTCTCGAAACTGATGAGCAAAGACCGAAGTGCCGGGGAGGCAGTCGACAAGGAAGACCTCTGGGAATGTCTATTTGGACACGTCGCAAGAGCAGCGAACTCGGAGTCGCGAGAAGAGCGGGGAGAGAACCCGGCAGTCATGAATCTCCTGGCGGCCGAGGCAGCCGAGTCGCGGCGGATGATGGAGAACGCCAGCCAGCTCGAAACATGAGCTCTTAGTACATATACCCCTCAGCTTTATAGCAACAGAGAGTTCGAGTTCAAGGCGGACGTCTTCCGATTTGTGAGGTCTCAACTATGCGGTAGTGTCTCGCAGTGACATTTCAAGCGCTCGTTGCTTCTGGAAATCAAGGATTATCCTTTCAGGGGGAGTGGTTCAGGGTCGTAGCTGATGTCGACCTTGCTCGTCGCCAGCCGGCATCAGCCGGTGTGGGGTGTTCCCCGCAATGCCAATCGACAGCTCGTGCTGTGACGTTCCGGGCTGGGCTTCGAGTTCGTATCGTTCCTGTCCAAGCACCTCTATAGTGCTGACCTGTATTCAACATCCCCAACGTGTCGCCAATTAGGAGGCAACCTCCCTGAAAACAAGTTTCAAGCTCCGGACATGGCATAGCCCGAGGCCCATCTGATTTCCTCCCACAATTCGCAGCGCCTTGATTCCACAACCACCTGCGGCTGGCCGCCGTCCAACAGCAATGCACAAGGCCAAGGGCAGGGGGGGTCCCCCTCAGCGGACCAGCATCCTCAGTGCCTTGAAGGCGACGGAGATGCTGGGTTCCAAGCCGACCCTCCCCGCGGGTTAGGAGCCCCGACCTTCCGATCCAAGAGGGACTCGCACTGACGACAGCAGAGATTCTTGTCGCCATTCTCGACTACCTCCCCGTCTCCGACCTCATGCGCGTCGCGCGGTGCTCCTGGCGCATGCAGGAGATGGTCTACGACGACACACGATGGGTGGCCCGGTTGAAAAGCATGGGGTGCTGGGACGAGGCCGAGGCGAGGCAGCACTTCGAAAACGCCATGAGGAGGAGGCGCGAAGCCGCAGAACAGGCCAAGGCCGCGGCGAGACAACCTGGAACGGGACCAAACGACGCGACCGCGCGACCTGCGGGGGACATGACGATATTCGACGCATCGGTAGAGGAGGACCGCCAGAAACGAATGTTCGAGCTGGACGGGTTCGAGAAGTTGTCGCTGGCGCCCACGCAGCCGGCGAGTGACCCGTTCAAGGACCCACAGGCGCTGTTGGACGTGATCAAGAACTCGAGGAGTATAAGAGGGCATGCGCGGCAAGAGTATGGCAAGATCTACGGCGCTCTGGGGCCGTTCTACCAGGACCTGGCGAGGGCGAGAAGTCACACGGACCCGGTCGTCTTCCAGGTCTTTCGAGACCCGGAGCAGCAGGCGCAAATGCTGTCCAACCTGCACACATTTGCAAAGAGTGACTGGGCGCAAGGGTGGAGCGAACGGGAACAAAAGCTGCTCACGATGACAGGCATTTTCGAGGGGGCCGTACTACGAGAGTTCGAACAAGGATACGAGTTCTGGGACGTGGATGGCAGAATGCGGCGCTACGCCCATGTCCTTCACACGCTCAACGGCGGCGCCGCGAGCGTTGATCTCTTTATTCAGAAGCACCCCATCTTCAACGACACGGAGATTATATCGGCAAACTCGGTAGACTGCCTGAACAGAGCTGGGGCCGACGACGCCGACCTCGAACCGTCACAGGTGTTCTTCGAGCTGTTGCTCAAGAAGGCCAATGAGCAGACGTCCATTATGGAACGCATCTTTCCAGAAGCGGAAACGTCCTTCTGGGAGCTCATTGAGAAGATCCGAGACGACATCATTCTGGAGTACTCCACTTCCTTGTTTGATGCGGCACATCAGCGAAGCCTTGGGGCTTATCTAAAGGCGGTATCAGGTGTTTTCGAACAGACAATGCTGTTCTTCCAGTCTTTGACTCCACCGAAAACCTCAAAGGAGACGATCGAGACCAAGGCCAGGGAGATGACCATTAGAGTGTTTGAGCCGCACGTTGACCTCTATCTGCAAGAGGAGCTGGACTTTTTCACCAAGCACGCCGAGTCAGAGGTCGGTACCTGGGAGAAGAGGTTATCAGAGCAGGATGCCTCCGTCGAGTCCTTTTACATGTCAAACATCAATCGTCAAGTTGATAAGACGGACTTTTTGAGTTCGTTCAAAAAGGTCGTCATGATGCCTGTCAGCGTCCTTCCCAGCTTCCAAGCACCCTTTGGCGGCGGCGCAAAGCCCTCGACAGCGACACCGGCCAACGGTTCGGGGCTCAACACACCTCAATTGTCTCGTCCTGAGACACCAGGCGTCAGGGGGAGTGTGGATGGGCGCAAGAGTCCTCTCCCGGACAAGGCGCCGACGGACGAGCTGGCAGCCAAGGCGGCGCTAATGGCTTCCCGTCTCGAAGGCATCAAGTCATTGTTCAGCATTGAAGTCGCTCTCAACCTCGTCCACGCGGCGCAGACGAGCCTTGGACGGGCGGCGCAGTTCATCCGACTCAAGGGCCAGTACGGCGAAGAAGCGCGCGAGCAGTGCGAGACCATCTTTGTCGTTCTCCTGCGGATTCTCGGGACAAAGCATGTCCAGGTCGGCTTCGAGAAGGCCGTTGGGCATCTCTCCAACTACAACCCGCGCGAGGTCAGCCACCACGACCAGTCGGGCGTGGCGCCGCTGGTGCAGTTCATCGAGCTGGTCAACGTCGGCGACCTCATCTCGCAAATGATTGACGTGTTCTACGAGCAGCAGCTCGCGGGCCCCAAGATTGCCGATAAGAACGACTTTCTCGACCCGGCGGGCCTCGCCAAGCGCAAGTGGGAGCAGATGCTCGACGAGAACGTGGCGGCGGGCCTCAACAAGGGCATCGACGTGCTCATGGACGAGGTTGAATTCCTGCACGGCTCGACGCAGCTGCCGACCGACTACAACCCGCAACTCGACGCCGCCAGCGGCATCCTCGCGGACCCGGGCCCGACGGCGACGGCGCAGCGCATCGTCGAGCTCGTCTCGGCGCACACGCGCATGCTCGTCGGCAGCACGGACAAGTCGATGCTCGACGTGTTCAACGGCGAGGTCGGGCTTCGCCTCTTCACGGCCGTCTGCAAGCACCTCAAGCGGCAGCGCGTCAGCACGGCCGGCGCCATCAAGCTCATCGCCGACATGAACCTCTACTTTGAGTACATACGCACGCTGCGCAACCAGGACCTGCTGGCCTACTTCAAGGCGCTGCGCGAGCTCAGCCAGATCTACCTCATTGAGCCGCAGCACGCCAAGGAGATGGCCACGATCATCGCCGACGGTGACCGCTTTGGCGGCATCTTCCGCGCCGAGGAGGTCTACGAGTACGCCCAGCGCCGCGCCGACTGGTACCAGGTCAAGACCAAGGTCGAGCGGGCCATGTACGGGATGGAATGTCAGCTCATGTAATGATGCACGAAGCACGAAGCACGAATTTAGAAGCACGATCAAAGTTACAAAATTCCCCAAAATGCACATGTGCCATGTGAAAGAAAAGGAACCTGTAAATTCGTGGCACAGTTGCCAGTCTGGATCGGTGGCCGTCTATGCTTTCTGGTTCTCCTACACCCACCATCCCCCCTTTTTGGGTTTTGAATGTGTCCCGAACGCCCCTTTGCCCAAACGCCAAGTGATGCCTGATCTGATTCCTATTTTCACGTGCAAACCCTCGCCATGCCTCGGACGTTGTGCAAGGTCACATTTTCCCAAAATCAAGCTTCCGCGCCACCTTGCTCCCCCTGTCCTCGTCAATGACGCCGGGGCGGCGCTTGAGGTCGGCGCCCATCTGCTCCTCGCCGCCGGCGTCCTTGCGCGGCAGGTTCTCCTTGCGCGTGGGCTTGGGCTGGGCGTGCCACCAGTTGTGCAGCAGCATATCGCGGGCGGTGATGCGCTTCGAGGGGTCGAGGGTGAGGGAGCGCATGAGGAGGTCGACGCCGTCGGGGCCGGCGGAGCTGAAGAAGGACATGAAGTAGTCGCGGCCGCGCGGGGGCTCGGGGTCGCCGTCGGGGACGGTGTAGGCGGGCAGCTTGGAGACGCCGGGCCAGTTGGCCTCGGTCGGGGTGCCGACGGCGTTGCAGATGACGGAGATCTGCTGGACCTCCGTGTCCGAGGGCATGAAGGGGTGGCGGATGATGAGCTCGGCGAAGACGCAGCCGACGGACCAGACGTCGACGGCGCCCGAGTAGTGCTTGGCGCCGAAGAGGAGCTCGGGAGGCCGGTACCAGCGCGTGATGACCTGGTTCGACATGAGCTGCAGGGGGTCGGCGAAGGAGCGGGCGAGACCGAAATCGGCGAGCTTGATGTCGCCGTCGGCGGCGATGAGCAGGTTGTTGGGCTTGATGTCGCGGTGCAGGACAAAGTTCTCGTGGCAGAACCAGACGGCGCGGCAGAGCATGCCCATCCAGGCCTTGATGTCGGCGGCGCCGTAGCGCACGTTGTCCGTGTCCTTGATGAGCATCTCGAGGTCGCCGAGGGGCAGGTACTCGAGCACGAGGTTGAGGTTCTGGTCCTTGGAGGAAAAGACGGACAGCAAGGAGATGATGTTGGGGTGCTGGAGCTCCTGGAGATGCTTGAGTTCGCGGACGGCGTCGGGTGCCATGCCCTCGCGGTATTCCTTCTGGATCTTGATCTTCTTGATGGCCACGAGGGAGGCGGGGTCGGATCGCAGGCGGCCGAGGAAGACGATGGCATAGGTACCCTCACCGAGCTTCTTGCCCTTGATGTATTTCCTCTTCTCCTCCTCGTTCATCTGCTCGGCGAGATCGAGGGTAGGGGGCAGCGAGATGGGCTTGGCGGGCTTGTTGTCGTCGCTGCCCGTGGGCTGAGGCGTGGCGCTCGCCGAGGCCTGGTTGGACGAGGCATTCTTGCGCGGTGAGGAGACGGCCGACGTGGATTTCGGAGGCTCTGTAGGCCGCAGCACGAGAGGTGAGGCCGACATGGCGGACGTCCCTGCCCTGCCTTCGTGGTGGCTGGCTTCTGCTGGGCTGGTGATATCGATATCGTGAGAGAGGGGGTGAAGGTGGCTGCTGCTCCGAGCTTCAGCGTTGGGTCAAAGACGAGGCGGCGGCAAGGCGCCTTCAAGGGATAGGTCAAGGGTGGTGAAGCTCAGCCTTGCGCTCTCAAGGGTATTGATTGGCTGGCTGGCTCATGATCCATGCCTCTGGACTCTCAGAGCAGAGGGCCCCCGATTAGTCATGCCAGTTTCGATACTCGTACTCGGCGGCCATGGCCAGCTCACAGAGTGTGGCTCAGCAGCCCAACACATGCTAGCGTGCCGCTTCTGTCAGTGGGCTCTTCCTTGGTGAAGCAATAAGGTTTCATGACGCAATGTTGCCATGACCACGGAGCAAGGGATTCATTCTTCAGACGAACGGACGGATGCAGGAGGCGACATCAAGGCGTTGATGTCACCCGTCGGCGCCGGTCATTCTCAAGGGTCTGCTTGCAAGACAATTGATTCCTCATCACAACCAGAACCGCCATCATGAATAGCCTCGTTACTCAGAAATCAAACACATGCTGGTTGGGTACTGAACAGGCGATCAATCAGCAGATGCCTCCTCCGGGCAGCACAGTGGCCCGACCCGGAGGAACCGCGGGGTTAACATGCTCAAATTGGCTGTGTAAGCAGGCACCGCAGCAGGGCTGCACAGCAGGCAAACAGTGGATGGGTGGGCAGTGGACGCGTAGTAGGGGCCCGCCCGCCCCCGGGAAGCCAAGCGCGCGCTGTAATCACCCACGCTGCTCCTTCTCTCCCCCCCCCCTCCCCCCCTCCGCTGGCCGGCCTACGTCATGGGCTGGCATCAGTCTCCGGGCTGAGCGAAGCCGAGTCATCGAAGATTTCCTGTCTAGGTTTTCCTGTCTGGGTCCCTGCCTGGCGCCCATCCAAGTCGTTCCTGTGTGACTGAGCACTGCCGCGAACGCGATCTGCCGATCGGGCCCTGCGGACATGCGACGGGTCCAACAACCTCCCCGGCCGGACTTTACATCCTTGCAGCCAAGAAGGGTAGCAAGTCTTCTTCTTTTACTTACCCAGTAGCCCGCCCTTTGTGAACAGAGTTGGGATCTTGATGTCGTTCTGACCCATAGTCTCTCTTCTCCTCAACCACGAGACCTTTGCCAAAGGCGGGATTCTTCTGCATCCCACTGACACCCAAACAAACAAGCATTCATCCATCACTACTATCCTCAACCGCAACCATCGAGAAGAACGAGTGATCCACGTCCATCCTCCGTCACCATGAAGATCTTTTCATTCTGGGTAAGCTTTCATGACAGAGAACGACACGAGACCATCATCAAAAAGGCACCTTAACTCACCAAGTCCAGGTTCTGCCCGTCATCTCGGGCGTCGTGTGGCTCGGCATGCTTCTCTCGATGCTCCTCTACTGGATCATCCACACCGACCGCCAGCGCTACAGCTCCATGGCCGACCGCCAATCCATCGCCTACATCAGCGACGTCGGCGCCTCGACGCTCAAGCCCCTCTTCATCGCCGGCTGCGCCGTGACCGTCGTCTTCCTCGACCTGTCCTTCCTCGCCGACCTCTGGCTGCGCCACCGCGGCCGTCTCGTGCCCAACATGAGCACGGGCGAAAAGGTGCTCAAGGCGCTGACCATCGTCTTCGCCCTCGTCGGCACCGTCGGCCTCATCTGCCTCGCCATCTTCGACACGGCCCGCCACCCGAGCCTGCACCGCGTCTTCCTCGGCCTCTTCATCGTCGGCTACCTACTCTCCGCCGTCTTCATCTGCTGGGAGTACCAGCGCCTCGGCATCAAATACCGCGAGCACCGCGTCCTGCGCATCTCCTTCTGGGTCAAGCTCGCCTTCATCCTCGTCGAGGCCGCCATCGCCATCGCCTTTGCCGTCACCATGCGCTCCGGCAACCCCGACGTCGCCGCCGTCCTCGAGTGGGTCGTCGCCTTCGTCTTCAGCTTCTACGTCTTCTCCTTCGCCATTGACCTCTGGCCCGCCGTCCGCACCAAGCAGCACGCCCGCCGCTTCCAGAAGCCTGGCGGCTCCGGCAGCACGAGCCCCCGCGCCGACGACGACAACCTCGAGATGGCCGACGCGCCCGTCGTCGAGGGCCAGCAGTACCCTCGGTACATGGCGCAAGGGCCGAGCAGCAACTTTTAAAAAAAGGACGTGACGATCTGATGAGCCAGGTGGCGTTCTCTTTCTTTTTTTTTTCTTTTTTTGCAAGGGGTTTCTTGCATTGACGAATTTACAAGCGGGGCGTGATGAGGGCGTTTGGCTTGTTGACACCAGAGTTCTGGGAACATATGATACCTCCATACAAAATATCCCTTAGTAGACAATTGATAATGACCAATACTTTTATCACAAAAAAGGTTCCGCACGACCCATCTATCTCGTCGTGACCTACACGTCGTGCCTCGCGTTCCTGCGCAATACAGATTCTTGCCTTCCTATGATGTGCTACTACGTGCCGTCCCTGCCGGCGATGATGTCAAGGGGCCGTGCCATCATGGCTTTCATCAACTTCCCCCAACATCATCCCACTGACGAGATTCAAGTCTAACGCAGCCGGCCTAGCCGTAGCGCTAGCGTAACACTAGCACTGAAGCCTCGACAAGCTCCGGGCGGCAAACACCACACTGCCGATCGATCGCGATCGGATGAAATACTTGCAATTTATGCACATTGTACAGACGGCGTGTTCAAACTACCCTCCTTCAGGTCTACCCAAGACAAACATTGCCATTCCATTGCTTTGTCAGCCAGTCTCCCTAAAACACCGCAAACACCTGCAAAACACCAATTCATAGCATCGTTCGATTACAGAACCTCCCGAAATCGCGAGTCCCGTGTCGGACTCCCGTTCGCCTCCTCATTAGGGTCCCGAATCTTTGTCGGCGGTGTAATGGTACGCTCAAGATCATCGCGCGCGTCCTTAAATCCTTCATCGTCGGAGCTCACGACGCTGATGGGCTCCGAATCTCGCGTTGTGGCTGTCTCCGATCGCCCACGTCCCTTACCCGCCAGTGCGACGTCGCGCATGCTGTTGGCACGGTTGTCGAGGCTGGTCGTACTGTCGTTGAGACCCCTGTGGAGGGCCGCGCCACCGACAAAACCCTTGGGCTGGCCCTCGACATCAGCCGATGACTTGCCGCGCGGTCGCGTAAATCGTGACTTGAGCCACGACTTGACCTTGTGCGTCGGGGACCCTGCTTCCTTGGGACTGCGCGCCTCATTGGAGTGGTTCGCAGTGTCTGTATCGACCATGGGCTGCGGGTGAACCTCCGCCATGTCCTCGTTCTCGTCGCTGTCCGTGTCGTTGGTGGCATCGTGGGCAGCGCTGGGGTTCTCAGCTTGCTTCTGTGTGAGCTTTGACTTGCGCTTTTCTTCCTTGGCTTGACGTTTCTCCTCGGCCTTGATGGCATGCTCGGCGTCCTTCTGCGCTTTTTGCTCGGCCTTCTCGTGCTGGCGACGCTCCTTCTCCTCGCGCTTCTCATCATCTTCGTGGCAATTAGTATGGGTCACATGGCGCGCGGATGCAATGTGTGGGATACTCACCTCTGATCTGTTTGTTGATCGCCTTGATTTCTCTGTCCCGCTCCTTGGCCTTTTCTTCGTCCTTTTTCTTGGCTTCAGCCTCCAGTCGGATCACCTCCTGCTTCTCGCGCTCGACGGCTGCCTTCTCGTTGATCTCGTCGAGCACAGGCTGGACCTTCTTCATGGCAATGGCGTCGACGTCCTCGGGGCTCATAAACATGCCGCCACCCATGTCGACTTTGCCATGGTTCTTGTTGCGCGAGGTGTGCATCTGTTGAGCCGCCTCGTGCGCCTTGAGCTCCCATTCACTCAGCTTCTTCGGTGGCCGGGACTTGCCCGTATCAGCGTATACCTTGTCGTCCATACCCTGCAGCCGCGCCTTGACGTTCCTCTGTGCAGCTGCGAGGAGCATTTCCCGGTCCTTGGATCGCTTCTGCTCGTCAACTTTCGACAAGTTTGTTGAAAAAATGGACATTTGCTGCCGAATGCGCTCTGACTGCTGGCGATCATCACCATCACCCTCGCTTGAAGAACGCCTTCGTAGCTTGGGCTTCAATGTGAAGCGTCGCTGAAGAGTGTTGCGGCGGCCTGGAATGCTTCCGCTGTTGCCATAGTACTCTTGGTACTCTCTGCTGCGACCGTGCTCAGCCTCCAGCTTCGCAAGTCTCTCTTGCGCCATCTTGTAAGCGGCCTCCTGAAGGTTCACGTATGGTCTGGGTTGATCATCGGTGCTTGCGACGTCAGACTCGGCGTCTTGGTTACTCCGAGTCTGGGTAGCCATTTTTTCATGCTGCGTGTACATCTTCTTGGCCATGGCCACCGCTGATGCGTGAAGAAGATCGGCTCGCTTTTCATCCTCTGACTTGCTGAACGCCGGGTTGGACGTGAACATGCTGCGAGGCAGGGACGTCACGGCAGATGCGCCACCTGCGCCGACGGACGACTGAGGGCGCACTGTCGGGCCATGGGCTGCCGATGCGGCACTGAGAGCACTGGCAGCTGCTTTGGCCTCGAGCGCGTCAGTGTTGGGGGTAGAGGCTGCTCGAGGTCGCCGTCTCGCAGGCATGGCGCTCTGGGCAGCCGACAACGATCCAAGACCATTTCGCTCGTTGGTGTTGGCTTGGTCGGAGCTAGGTGTTGTGAGAGGCTTTCGCACAGATTGGCTGGTCTTGAATGCTTGAGTGGCAGCGGAATTGCCCCAGCCGGCTTGCGAGGATGAAATAGAACTAGATGGCGTGTGCATCTTCATGGCGGCAGCCGCCTGTGCTGCTGCGGGGTTGCTATTAGACGATGCCTTGGAAGGTGACTGAGGCGCCTTTGAGTGCCGTTGGTTGAGCGCGGCCTGAGTGGCCTGAGCGGCGGCCGAGTTGCCCCAACCTGCGGTGGACGAAGGTCGTGGTGTGCTGGATGAGTTTTGCGACTTGCCAGCGGACTGCGTTGCGAGGAGCGCGGCTTTGGCGCCAGCAGAGCTGGCGTTTGGTTCCCACTGGGGCGCCATTTTGTAGTCCTTGGCTAGAACGGCAGCGGCGGATGCGGATGACGACTTGTCAGGTCGCCACGGGTTGATGGGCTTCTGGTTCGCCCAGCCTAATGACGCTGCGGCACCTGCTGCAGCGCCGTCTTGTCGCAAGCCGTGTGAGGGAAAGCTGGGAAGATCTTGCGGTTTGGCGTACTTGATGGTTCCAGCAAGAGCGGCTATGGAAGCTGGTCGTCAGTTGAGCTCACTGTGAGGTCAGGCATGTGTAGGGTAGGGGTGTAGTCGGGATCTTCTTTGCATTTGCAGGGTTCGTCAAGGGTTTATCTGCTCGGCCGATTGTTTGATCGATGAACGGAGCCTTCGGCCCATGACTCCCCTCCCACCTCCCGGCTCGCGACCACCGTACCCAAGCATAGGCACCAAGACTCGTACAAACGTAAATTACGTACCTGGGGTCACAACTTGGTACTGTGTCTCAGCCATGCTGGCATCCTGTACAGTGGACCGCGACATGTTGAGATGTTGAAAGTGGGCGAAGTGCATACACCCAGAACTCCACAAGCTCACTCTTGGATGGTCAATCAGGTAGACAAGACAGTCAACGAATGCGTGTCGTAAGATGAGGACGCAGCGGTCTGCAGTCGGGTAGTCAGACGACCGGGGCAGCTGAACTGCGTGCGAAGACACTTGCGTAGGGCGTTCGTATTTGGACAAGGTAGCGAGGAACCGAGGAACCAAGGTGGGCGTGCAAACAAGCTGGTGGGATTAGGTATTTTGGGGTGCGGCCTCGGGGACGTGCCACACAACCCAGAGGAAAATGAGGAAAGGGCTAGGTTATATCATTGACAGTTGGTTCGAGGGGCATGACGAGACTAGATCGGTTGCGTTCAATGGTAGCGCACTGGTGCGGCGAGCAGCAGACAGTGGTGATGGCATGGCTCGACCGAGTGTCACGGCGCATTGCTAGCCCAACAAGCCAGGGCAATCGGAGCCTGGTTGCTCTGGCCTGTTGCTCCTCGTTTGTCTGGGACGCTCTTGCAAGACATGACCATGACGTCACTTTGCGACGCCCCCGCTGGAGAGAGCTGTGCCTAGCGCCATCCTAGCGGCTGCTGGAGGATGGGTGGGGGGAGGTGCTGCGCATTCGGGGAGGGTTGGGGGAGGGTACCTTCGACGCTGGAACCTGCGGCTTCTGGTCCCTTGGGGTGGCAGGTGCGACCATTCCCTTGCTACGCTGTGCTGTGGCACCGGCTTCAAGGGATGTCACTGGGCAGTAGGCACCCACCTAAGGCACCTCACCTTCCTTCAGGTGAACAAGGGCCATCGCCATCCGTGTAGGCGTGTCATCTTGAGGTACGGTACGTCGTGCGATGGGTTTCGGTGCCTCCGGTTCGGTACCCAGAGCAAGCATCTGGGTGAGGCACACTCACAAAGCAACCCATGATGCGCAGCATTCCTCTGCACGATGCTTCTGTCCAACAAGCATCGAGAACCCAACCACCTCATCAAGCCGATCTACCGTCCCAAACGGCAAAGATGATTGTCCACAACCGGACGAAAAGATTGTGATCTGCCTATCTTGGCAAGCTAGACACACCAGCAGCCGGGTCCAGGTCGGCTCACGTATGGTCCGCCCGCCCAGCCTGGCAGGACCCTGTAAATCCCACCGGCCTCGGCGCCGCGAGTGTTAATGACATCAGCCGCCCGGCCCGCTTTAACTTACAATTCTTCTTCGTGCTGAGGGCTCGTGGAGACTGTGCCGCAGGGGGGGTAAAATCGGTTTGCCCGCCAACAAGCGAGTGATCGCCCGACTCCAGTGATGGGCCCGAGGACAAACGCAGATTCGTCCAATCCATGCACCAGGTCGCGACGGTAGGAGATATCTGCACTGGATCTATTCAACGACCTGTTCAAGCTGTTTTCCATCTGGCACCAAGAACTCACCTGGCCTGCTTGACCAATTCGCTGGGGACCGCCTTTCTGTACGTGGACGGCATCGTGATTCATTCTCAATCATGTCAGCCTCTGTTTCCATCACTTCCATCGTGAACCTGCGCGATGTGGGTGCGACAGTCAATAACTTCCTGGGCGCGAGGTACTACTAGGCCCTGAAATGCATGGTGGCACAAGACTGACTGCCCAACACCAGACGACTCAGAGAGGGCCTGCTTTTTCGCTCAGCTCGACCTGGTACAGACAGCCTAAAAGTGAGACTTCTCCTGCATGTCCGTATATGCTGAGATCAGCTAGATGAGGCTTCCTCCGAGGACAGGGCTCGTTTGAAAGATGACATTGGTATCAAGACGGTCGTGGATCTACGTTCCAAGTTCGTTCCGTCCTGACGATCTCGATCCCACACACAGCTAAGGACTACCAGGACCGAGCATCTGAGGCAGATGCAAAAGCGTCAACCACTACACCAGCCTGGTCTCCCAGCCGCCATCCAGACAAATGATGAACTAGCTCAGAGCGCCATGATTCCTGGTCTGCACTACGTTAATGTCAGTCTAGCGGGGAAAGGACTGCAGCGGCATCTCGCATGGCAGCTGTCGTGGTGGAATCTATTGTTAGTGTCCCTCCACCAGAGACCAAACGAAGACATGTCTGGAGCTAACCCACAGCCTCGATAAAAGCCAACTCATATTCTACCACATAATCGGTCAACGTGTCAAGGGTATGGCCATCATGGGTCGTGAAGTCTTTCAAGTGCGGGGCCTTGTTGGGCTCGGGCTTGATACCCTCGACTACTGCCATGGCGAGACCGTTCAGGTCCGTAGTTCTTGGTCTCCATACATAACATAAAACTGTTGATTGACACCCTGATAGGTCCTTCGAACGTTTCTCGATCAGCAGTCTCTCCCGTCTCTTGTCCACTGTACGCAAGGGAAGGACAGAACCGGGTTAATCGTCGCACTCGTTCTCATGATCTTGGATGTTCCGATCCCGGCCATTGAGCATGATTATGCGCTGACGGACGCGGCACTCAATGCGGACCCGGACGTGCGGTTCAAGGAGATACAAGAGATTGGCCTCTCAAAGAGTTGGGGATGTACGGACCCAAACATGATCAAGGCGATTGCAGAACATATAACAACCCAATACGGTGGACTGGACCAATATCTAGATCTTATAGGGTTTGGCCAGGACCAGAGGGACAGGCTGAGAGAACTCCTGCTGTACTGAACACTGTAGGCGCAATCGTGGGCGTACGATGCTTTTACGGATTTTTGTATTGGATATGAGCTCATATCTTCTTGAATTTACCCTGCATCCAGCAGCGGTACATCCTCAACTTGCGGGCGCGGTTTACGAGCATCCGCCTGTCAACACCGAGATCCTCGATCTCGAACAGCTCCTTTGTGGCAGCTTCACCTTCCTTCTCAACAACACCCTTCCAGATGGTCCTCAGCTCGTCGAGCTCGAAAAAGTACACACGTGTCCCATCACCCCGCACGTAGAAGTTTTCGTCCAGGTAACGACCCTTCTTGAACCTGACCTGGGCGAGATCACCTCTTCCATAGTCTCGGAAGCAGACCTGGCCACCAGGCTTCAGCAGGCGGTGGACGTTCTCAACAGCCTTCTGCCACTGATTGGGGTTCAGCGCCGAAAAGATGAAAACAAGAATGGCAACGTCGACAGACTCCTCGCCCAGGCCTGGGGGAAGTTCGTCGCTTGTCACATCCCACACATCAGCCTGCATGTGCTTCGTGTCGTACTCCTCGTGGCCCCGCATGACATCGACGGCCTTTTTGGAATAGTCGCAAGCATGGACCTTGAGTGCGGTGTTCTTGTTATTCGCCAAGACGGGGAACGCCGTGTTGCCGGCACCGGCACCAATTTCCAGAATCACCGCAGGGCCGGCATCCTCCTTGGTCACTTCACCAAGGATAGGAAATTCCTGCTGCAGCCACTTGCGATTCTTGAAGAAATTGGCAGTATTGTTCTTGTAGAACAGATCCCACATACGAGCTGGGTTGGCATTGAGCCTATCTGTTGTCTGGTTAGTTCAGGTCCAAGACAGAGCAGCTCGATGAAAAGAGTAATCAAGAGGTTTGTAACATCAGATGGGAGCGAAAGACTATAACATATGCAGTCTCATCACAAAGATTCAGGTGAACTATGCGTAATTGGTGGGATCATCATGAAACCAGGGATTGTTTTGGGGTGATTGGAAAAAAAAAAAGGAGACTCACTCTTGTCAAAGTCAGAGACTGGAGACTGACGCTGCATCTCGTACTGCTCTTCAGCATACTCCTTGTATGCATCGTCAGTCTCGACATGGTCCCATGCATTGAACTCGTAGACGTTGTCCCCCTCGTTGAAGAGACGACTGCCGAACTGAAACGGGTCGCTCCGCTTCAGGTTGTTCTCCGGGTCGTGAGATCTGTGAGCCGGTGGTGAATCCTGGCTCTTGGGCTGCGCATCTGGCTGGGCAAGCGCGAGGGCGGCCGTCTTCTCGACCAGGCCTGGCTCGTCTGCCGAGGCGCCAGATGCGGGAGTCAACGAAGACGCCATGACTGGTCGTAGCCTCAATCACCAGGATTGGTGAAAAGCGCAGCTGTTCCTGCGCAGGTGGCCCAGTCGCGATGTCTCGAGGCTGGGTGGAAGAAGTGAAAGGTTTGCGGTCGAGGGGAAATTTTTGGCCAACAATTTTGATCACCATCGAAAGTGGTCCGGGCTCCAAGGTGGGACTTGCCATCGGCAAGAGGAAAGTCCGTGGCCCGCGAGCCAAGGCCAATCAATCGTGGTTTCTAAAGTGGATACCATCGTGGTGTAGTATCAGGTCCAATCCAACGTGGGCCTCCTAGACTGCGAGCATCAGATTGAAGCTACCGCCACCAGACAGCTTGCCTCTTGCTAGGTACCGATTGCAACGTAAGGCGGGTTGCCATCGCATCGACCTGGACTCCACGACACCCGATCCTCAAATTCCCACGCGTCTCTAAGAGGCAGAAGTCTTGAATAATGGCGCCAGTCTTGACCAGGCCGCAAGGCCACCTCTCTCCCGCTGATGCGCTGCATCTCGCCCAGCAGGCCCCGACGATCCTCAAGAACAACCCTAGGGCTTTCGCCTCGAATCCTCTCCTCGCCCTCTTCACAGCTGCAGAGACCCCCGAGATTTGGGTCGTCTACGAGAACCTCATCCTGGCATGTTGCCGCACCGGAGACACCGAGTCGGCGTATCAGTGTCTAGAGAGGCTGGTCACTCGGTTTGGCATCGACAACGAGCGCGTCAGGGCATTCCAGGGCCTTATTAAGGAGGCGGCGGCAGACAACCAGGGCGAGATTGTACAGTTGCTGATGGAGTACGACACAATCTTGGGACCCGACAACACAAATATAGTGAGTGGGACGCTTCGGGTGGCTGGGGCCAGAAGCTAACATCGTAGCAGCCCGTCGCTAAGCGCAAGGTTGCGCTCCTAAGGTCTCTCGGCAGGACCTCTGAGGCCATCGATGCGCTGAATGCGCTACTTGATTACTCTCCTACCGATGCTGAGGCGTGGGCGGAGCTCGCTGATATCTACCTCTCTCAGGGGCTGTACTCACAATCCATCTTCGCCCTGGAGGAGGTGCTGCTGCTCTCCCCGAACGCTTGGAATGTAAGCTGCCTCAACTAAGCGGGGTATCATTCGAGTACTGACTTTTTTTCAGATGCATGCTCGTTTGGGCGAGGTCCTCTACATGGCCGCCACAGCTTCCGATGGCCCTCAGTTGAAGCGGTTGACGGAGTCGCTCAAGAGATTCTCCAGGAGTATTGAGCTCTGCGATGATTACCTACGCGGCTACTATGGCCTGAAGCTGGTACGTGGTTTTGGCGTTTGAATGTGGCGCTTCTTCTGACGAGACACATAGGTTACCGACAAGCTTTTGAAAGATGATTCCAAGTCAGCAAAACAGCCCGATGCGGATGACTGGTCCCCTCCCGACGAAGCTACAGTTCACAAGTTGAGAGAGCTGGCAACAAAGAAGCTATCGGAGATTGTGCGTCGAAAGGATGCTGGCGAGAAGTCATGGCAAGGATACAGCGAATCCGAAGTCGCGGCAGCGCGGGACCTTCTGAGCAAGGAATCGGCGGATGTGGTCCGATGATGATGCCCATCCATAGTATGGTGGAGCGTATATATCCCCGAGTGTTTGTGTGATGTGGTCGGTTAGGAGATGTACCGACACAATGCAAAAGCACTTGATATGACTGGATCTCATGTGCTTGTACGACCTTGGCACCTTAGTGGTGGATGCCGTAATTGTATCGGAAGAATAATAGCTCTGCTCGGATCAACTTGTGATGTGAGCCGGATCCTCGGAATACCTATCAAAGATAGTTGCCGTCTTCTGTGGATGGTCCGGAAGCCAAAGATGTGGCGCCCAACACAACACAACCAGACGCAACATGGCGCATGAGATCGAGAGGGTGGAGAGGTCCGGCAGCAGTGCCGGCGATAGGCAGAGATGGTCATTGGCGTAGCTTTACGTGGCCGATGATGAGAGAGAACGCGAATTGGGCAGAGACGATTCCTTCAGGCAGGCATCAGGGCCATTAGGGCTCCCGATTGGGTTTCACCGCGACTGATGGGGCAGCGCTTGTCAATGCCACTGTCAGACAACTCTCCTGGTATGTCTGAGAGGTCCAATGACGCCTGCGATGTATGCTGCCTAGTGGATCTGTTCGCTTCTAGGCTGTTCGCCCAGCGAAAGGGTTGAGCGAGGCCCACCGGCGGATGCGCTGGCCGTGAGTCAAACCCGACACGAAGACGCGGCCAACTCACGATGATACGCTGTGCTGGCTCGCCAACGTTGGAAGCCTTGGACTTCCTCGTGACTTTACCAGTTCTCGTTTGATGTTGAGTGAATTGTTCTGGGATGACCCGGTTGAAAGATGTCTGGAGAGCTGGCGAGTCGTCGGAACCTCTCTATAAAAGCTGGACAATCATGTCGCCAGCTGACCCTCTGGAGCATCGAACACGACAGCACTTACACGCGGCGTGACCCATGCTCTAGGACTAAAAGTTGCCAACCAGTTGCAGCATTCATACTCTTCGTCGTCAGGAGCACGACAAGCACACTCCATCCAAGTTGCCGACTCGGATTTGGCGGGTCATCTCGTGAAACTTTCTGCCTTCCGGGACAGGCTCTTGACCATCTCATCTCTTGGGCCACCTCATCCTCGACAGCTTGAGCAATCGGACGTGAATCCGAAAAATTATGTGGTACATGCAAAGGCACAGTGGAAAATCATCGAATCACCGAATACATATATTACCGACTTGATCTGCGGCAGCTTCTCCAGCAGTGAAAGGGAGAGAGACCTTTACCACGTGCAATTGGCCACACCAGGAACCCAGGAAACGCACATTCCCTCGCCCCCCCCCCCTCCCTTCTCCTCGCCATCGTCTGCATCACAGGGCCCGCTCAGCAGGCAGCACAGGCGCAGCCTTTTCCCGTTCCTGACGTCGGTATCAGAAAAGAGGATCCAGGCCTCGGAAGAGAGACTGCAAGACCAGGACCAACAGGCTGCGTAGCTGTCTTTGCAGCAGCACAACTTCATTGGATTTAAGGTACTCACCAGAAGGCGTGGCCTCGACCCCTCCTTCCCCCAACCCATTGCTCTGACCTCACCTCACCTTACCTCACCTGAATCCTAAGGCTCCCTCTCGCAGCTTGCCCCTCCCCCTCCCCCCTTGCCCCTTTCGGACTGGACAAGTGCGAGCCCCTCTCCAATCGCAGTCGCACCCGTTCACCACTAACACCACGGCAACGGTAGCAACAACACCATTGTCAAGGACAGGTGCCTCGAGAGAACCTTGTTTGGCTTTACCGCTTTGGTGTGCACAGTCAACATCTTCCGCTTATCGCCCATCGCCCGTCGCCTGGCACTCCCCTCTCCCACACCACGCGCACACCACCACCTGAGCTGCAGGTGATCCGCCCCAAAAGCAAAGCTGTGCCGCCTCAGGTAATCCTCCCTCCCTCCCTGCGACCTGCGCAGCCCCCCAAACCGCCTTGAGACATAAGACAACGACGTCCTCCCAATTTCCTCCTCGTCGTTGCGTCGAGCAAGCCAAGGCCAGACGACGGACGACTTCGGCTTACGGCCCGCGTCCTTTGCGGTTCGGCTCGTCTTGGATCGACACACCCAACATTCGCCTCGTGCAACGGCGGCAACCGTTTGCGAACACAAAAGGGAACGAACAGGCGGTAGCCAAACGTTCTCCACGTCAAAGGCGAGGACAGGGCCGTCCCGCAACGCAAGACCCCCCCTCAACAAAGAAACACGACGACCCTAGGGAAACCTAAACACCCAGGCCGTCTACCTCGTTGGATCGACGCCAACAACACCTGGTACGTGCCTGCTTTAGATGTGTTTCTCCATGTTGTCTCTGTGTGTTGCAGCATCGCATTGCGACACATGCCGGGCTCCCTGTCACGGCCTGTAGCATGCGCCGATGCCCAGCATGCTGATCAGCCCTGGCGAATCTGGACCCAAGTGGGCTCTGCAAAGCCTGGACACTTAAAAGCCGGCAGGGAAAAGAGGCCAAGCCGGCGGGGCAGAGGGGCAAAGGAACGCTGCGGTAACAGGGGGGGTCACGACGCAGCTGAGGGGTCTCATTCACAGACGCCCGTCAACCCTTCAAGCCCTTCGAGCAAATCCCCCCCCCCCCCCCCCGTCCCCGCCTTTAGCATGACACCGGCCGCCTGCATCACATTGCAATGGAATGCAGACTGCACTATTTGACCGCTACCTCCCAATCGATTTTGCATGCTTCTTCACAGGAACCCTCACACTGACCAAACTGTTCCTAGCAGGCTACTTGCCGCCAGCTTGTTCTTACATGTACCTTGTTGGCCATAGAACTGCGTCGTCTGACCAAAGCGTCTCGTTCCCCTTTCCCCCTCTTCGCCTCGCCTCATCCCACCTCGCCCCAACGTGCACGCTCACAACAACCTGCACATCATCACCGCCTCCTCGCCAGACTACCGAGAACCGTCATTTGGGCCGTTTTCCCGCCTTGTTACATCCAGCGCGCCTACCTTACCTTACCACCCTTTGACGACCCACAGCGTGCAACCCTTGAGCTGGGCCTTCTAAGCCTCCATCCATATCCACCCTTGGTCCATCCCTCACCGCAGGTCCGATACCCAATTGCCCCAGGGCCTTTGCGCCCAACTACGCAGCCGCTCAGGACTGGCACCACAAAACAGGGAACCCCCCGTCTCCGATCTGTGCCCGCCGCAACCCGCGATCTATCATCCTTCTCTCCAGCCTGCGCCCGCGCAACCCGCACAAGATTCTCATTTCCGCTGCCCCTCACTTCTGGACGTTGCACCAAAAAGCCGATACCGACTCCCACAACAAGACGAACGTTCGCATCGATCCTCTGGAATACCAAAGGCTCCCAACTTACAACAAAACACCCTGCACACACAGCCCTCGGACCACATACCTTGCGACAACGTTGCCGCCCTCTCGACACATCTCTGCTCCGGCTTTCTATTGATCGTCGTGGGCCAAAAGCATCTTACAAGAGTCCAGCCCCAATGTCGTAAGTCTCAATAGACAACGCATTCACGGCTGTTGGCACTCTTTGCTAACTATTACGAAGACGACGGCACACTACCATCGTAATCGAGCAAGGACACCCTACGTCCCGATCAAATTCTTTCAGCGAGGGAGAAGACTCGTCTTCCCACCAGAGTCAAGACTACAGTTCCGGCGGTGATTGGGGTGAAGAATTCCACGGCGAGATCGACCCTGAAGACTCCGCGTCGACTAGCGCTCGACCTTATCACCATTCGCGCTCGAGGTCTCGTTCTCGTTCTCGGTCTCACCACGCTGCCCCGCGGCGGCACGTTTTGCCCCACCGACCCTCAGCTCCGGGCCATTACAGGCCTGCTCCTCCCGACAGTCTGGATTCCGCAGAGGACTACGGGTCGCCGTATGGCGCCCGCGGTGGTCCCTACGGCCCTCCGGGCCCTGCCGGCGGCCATAACCCTTACTTCGGCGGACGTGGCGGCCATCAACAACCTGCGCCCCCCGGCGGATACCCCCAGAGCCATGTGGGCGGATACATGCCGAGTCCCTATGGCGGTCCTCAACAGAGCATGGTGCCCTTCGGCAATTTCCAGCAAAACCCCTTTTCGCCCATGTCGAACGGCAGTGGCCAGAGCTATTTTGAGGGCGGGCCTAGGCACCCATATCACGAGATGATGCCTTATCAACACGGAGGCTACTATGGTGGTCACGGTGGCTACCAGCAACAGATCCCGCCTCATATGCAGCAATACATGTATTCGCCACCCCCTCCTCCAGCAACCGAGGCGCCTGCTCCCCGTCCAAAAACCCCAGCGGCGCCCGAACCACCCAAGCCCGACCCAGAGAAGGAGAAGATGCAGGAGCAGCTCAAGGCTTTCCAGGCCCTCCAGGCAAAAAAGGACGAGGAGGAGAAGCGGCGCGAGTTTGAGGCCAAGATTCGAAGAGACACCGAAGAGCAGCTGAAGATTCGGGAAGACGCTCGCAGGAAAGCCACCGAGGAGGCGAAGAAGGAGTTCGAGCTCGCCAAGGCCGAGGCGGAGCGAGCCGCACGCGAGAAGATGGAAGCCGAGCGGAAACACGAGGCCGAACAAGCCAAACTCCACGCCGAAACCATGGCCAGAATCCAACGGGAGGCCAAGGAAAAGTACGAGGCAGAAATGAAGGCGGCTGCCGAGCAGAAGAAGCGGGAAGAGGACGCGCGTGCGGCAGCCGAGGCCGCTGCGCGGGCAAAATTTGAGGCCCAGCTCAAAGCTGAAGCAGAGGCCAAACTCGCTGCAGACAAGAAGGCCGCGGAAGACGCCGCAGCGAAGAAGAGGTGGGAGGAGGAAACCAAAGCCAAAGCCGAGGCTGAAGCGCGGGCCAAGCTCGAAGCTGAGACCAAGGCAGCAGAGAAGGCTGCGGCGGACGCTGCCGAGAAGAAGAAGGAAGAGGAGGCCATGAAGAAGAAGCTCACCGAGGAGGCCAAAGCCAAGTTTGAGGAAGACGCCAAGAAGACGAAAGACAAGGCGCCGATCAAGTTCAAGGATGCAGTGGGAAGGAAATTCAGCTTCCCGTTCCACCTTTGTGCAAAGTGGGAGGTATGTGGAATCCAAGATGGCGCACTTGGGCTGGTCGACTGACTGTTCGTTTAGGATATGCAAGACTTGATCAAGCAAGCCTTCCAGCACGTCGATGTCATCGGACAGCAGGTGCAAGACGGCCACTATGACCTGATCGGACCTAACGGCGACATTATCTTGCCCCAGGTCTGGGACAAGGTGCTCGAGCCGGACTGGACGATCGAGATGCGCATGTGGCCCGAGAGCAAGTCGGCGCAGATGCATGCGCAGATGCACGCGCAGCGACACGGCATGCCGCCCGGATTCCCTGGTGTGCAGATGCGACCGGGTGGTGGCCGAGATCCTCGAGAAGAACTACGTGCGCGCCTGGCGCACATGGCGGCACACGGACAGCGCCCAATGCAGATGCCCCCCGGCATGATGCCTGCCGGGGCCAGGCCCGGGGGTGGTGGCCACCACGTACCGCCACCTCCTCACATGCACCGTCCTGGCGAGCGGCCGGGTCGTGGGGCCCCGCCAGGCGTTGACGTCGTCACTGCCGAGCCGCCAAAGAGGAAGTCCAAGACCGCCGGTTCTGGATTTGCAAGCTGGGTCGCAGGAAAGCCATCGAAGAAGAAGTCAGTATTCCCGCGCCCAACTACATTATGGGGATGAGAAAAGGAAGTACTGACAACAACCAGGTCGTCGAGGAAGTGAGATGCGGACTCGACCGGTTCTGATTTTGACGGCATGCCGCTGCACAAGACCAGACTATCCATCTCCTCTCGGACGGTCTGTCAGCAGCAGTGGTCAGATTTCCTTTTTGCTTTGTCAGGCGCGGGCGCTATTTGCCACATATGATACCTTGCTGCGTTTGCCATTCAAGACTCCTCCTGCATTTAAGCCACTCTTCGGGAACGCATTATGGCGGGGGATCACTTTCTACACAGTCTGAAGCACCTGGATGCTGAGGCATGATGTATGACGGATGGAAGGGGTTAGGGGGTGGGAGAGGTTGGAAAAGCGGCGCCCTTGTTCCTTTCTCGCCAGCCAGATACATTCACCAGGATACGTCGGAGCTGGCTGGCTGTTTTGAGATTGCGCAAGGATCGGAGACTTGGGGTGTACACAGGTGGGACAGGAACGGAATAGTACAAGTGTGAAGTTGTGATTTGATGCATTGTCAATTCTGCTGGGGTTTTCTTCTTCAAAGTCCTTTGGCGTCGTCTTTTGGCGAGGCACGCGACCTACTCGCATGGTCCTCGGTTCACATGTTTGGTTGAAGAGGGTACTATACACTGGTCTATCTATGGCTGTTGCTACATAAGTTCCGCGTGGGTCTCTGTTCTACTCTATCGTCTGCTGTGCTCTGCCGTATTCTGATGTGTTTTGGTGCTGGTTTCTGTCTTCCTCTCCGCCTCTTTCACTCGATCGACGTTGCTCATGGTGGGTAAGGGCACAAGGGAGGCGCACAAATCACAGCTTCTTCGGCTGGCCGAGGATGCGCCTCGCGCGCTTCTCAAAGGCCTCGATCATGATGCCGGCGACCTTGTCCGAGACGGCGGCGCTGACGGCGGCGTAGAGGGGATTGGCGAACTGGAAGCGGATGACGAGGTCGACCTGGGTGGCGGGGTCGTGTGCGTCCTCACGCAGGGGCCGCAGCTCCCAGCGCGTGACGAGCGAGGTGAAGACGGCGCCGGCGCCGCTGCTGCTGCCGCTGCTGCCTCTAGAGGAGGAGGAGGATGAGGACGAGGAGGAGGAGGAAGGGCCCCGGGCGGGTGGCTCGAGGTCGGCGCCGCTGATGGCCTCGACGGAGCGGTCGGGGCGGCAGCGCAGGCGGCTGGTGAAGGTCTCCTCGAAGCCGCCCCAGCCGACGCGCAGGTCGGCCTCGGTCGGGGGGTGGGGCGGGCTGGGGTCGCGGGCGGTCACGCGCGACGCTGAGCAGTAGGGGACGAAGGAGGCGTAAGCGTCTATGTCGGCGACGAGGGCGTACAGGGCCTTCGGCGGGTAGGGGAGGGTGCGGGTCGCTGTGAGGGTCTGCGGCGGGGACGAGGGGAGGTTCGGCAGGGAGAAGAAGGGCCGGCTTGACGCTGCTGTTGCTGTGCGCTGCTGCACGAGGAGAGAGGAGGAAGAAGAAGAAGAGAAGGAGGTGGAGGAGGAGGACGCGAGAGGTCGGGAGAGGGGCGTCAGGAGGCGGAGGGCGGAGCGTGACATGGTGTGTCGTGGGTGGTGACAATGTTGGACGGTGGGAGGGCGAGAGAGGGAGGGAGAGAGAGAGAGCTGTCCGGGTGTTCAGGTGTTCTTCGAGACCATGGTCGTCAGGTCGGGTCACAGCGCGCCGTCAATGGCCGTCCTGGGAGGCGTCGTTGGAGAGAGGTGGTGGACAGGGAGGGTAGCAGACTGGATGCGATGCATGATGCTGCCATATCGCATTCGACTGTACTGTCCAGTAGACCGGCTCGGGCCGGGCAGGTGCCGCACGGTGCGACAAGGTGCTGCAAGAGCTGCCGCCGCACAGTCAAGCACGTTCGTCATGGCTGTGGCCGTGGCAGTGGCCGTGGCCGTGGCCGTGGCTGTAGCAGTAGCAGCCGGCGGTCATGGTCATGGTGGGGGAGGATCCACGCGTGGCATGGCACAGGCACGGCATTGCATTCTGCCTCAGCCAGCCCGACCACCGACTGACTGACTGACTTCCAGCAACCACCCTCTTCTCTCCCGAGGCACCTTTTACTTCCGCATCGCCGTCACGCGCGCAGACTTTCCCCTCCGGCTCGGGCGCGACACGGAGCTCCCACCATGTTGACAGCCCCTCCGACGACTCTCCCTCCCAACGCCTAGACCAGACTCGTCCCATCCACCTGCCCGCCCTGACGATCCCCTCGTTTCCCTGCTTGGCCCCGCGTGGGCTCGCCCGCCCGCAAACATGTATGAGCCGCTCAACCCCATGCCCTGCGCTGCGTCAGGCAGGCGCACCAACCTTCTTCGACTGACCACGGCCACAGGTTCGAAAAATCCCTTTACGACCTCATTCGAGGCCTACGAAACCACAAGGGCAACGAGCGCGAATACATCCAGAACAGCCTGAAAGAATGTCGCGCCGAGGTTCGCAGCCAGGACATGGGTGAGTCCCCCCCCCCCCCTCCCTAGGCCTCTCACAACGGCAACACAGCGAATATTCCATGGCACCAAGGGAACCAGTGCTGATGCGCAGCGGGCAGACCTCAAGGCCACGGCCCTCATGAAGCTCGTGTACCTCGAAATGGTCGGCCATGACATGTCCTGGGCCTCGTTCCACGTCCTCGAGGTCATGTCCTCGCCCAAGTACCACCAGAAGCGTGTCGGCTACCTGGCCGCTGTGCAGAGCTTCCGCCCCGACACGGAGGTTCTTATGCTGGCTACGAATCTCCTGAAGAAGGTATGACCAAAACACGCCGCCCGCGGCAGAGTGACGCCGCCGTGACAGAGAGACGCCGCCGTGACAGAGAGGCGCCGCCGTGACAGAGAGACACCGCCGACCCTGTTGCCTTGGACAGTCCACTGACGAACCATATCCAGGACCTAGCCTCGCCGCATGCGACAACCATCACGCTGCCCATGGCCACGCTGCCACACATCATCACGCCCTCCCTCGCCCTCTCCACCCTCTCCGACCTGCTGCCGCGCCTCAGCCACTCGCACCCCAACATCCGCAAGAAGGTCATCGTCACCCTGTACCGATTGGCCCTCGTCTACCCCGAGACCCTGAGGGCCGCCTGGCCCAAGATCAAGGAGCGCCTCATGAACAAGGACGAGGACCCCAGCGTCACGGCTGCCATTGTCAATGTCGTCTGCGAGCTGGGCTGGCGGAGACCCCACGACTTCTTGCCCCTGGCGCCGAGGCTGTTCGAGCTGCTCGTCGAGGGCGGCAACAACTGGATGGCCATCAAGCTGATCAAGCTGTTTGCCACCCTGACGCCGCTCGAGCCGCGGCTCGTCCGCAAGCTGCTGCCCCCGCTGACCGATCTCATCCGCACGACCCCCGCCATGTCTCTTCTCTACGAGTGCATCAACGGCATCATCCAGGGCGGCATCCTGGGAAGCGCAGACGACGGCAGCGAAGAAATCGCCACCCTCTGTGTGAACAAGCTCAGGGGCATGATCATGGTCGATGGTGATCCGAACCGTGCGTTTTCTTCTTTGACCTGAGCTTGTTTTGTTTGCGGGGGCTAACCCAAAGACAGTCAAATACGTCGCTCTCCTGGCCTTCAACAAGATTGTCTTGACCCATCCCTTCCTCGTCGCACAACAGGAGGACGTCATCCTCGAGTGCATCGATAGTCCTGACATTACCATCCGTATAAAGGCCCTCGACCTCGTCAAGGGTATGGTCAGTGGAGACAACCTCGTCTCTGTCGTGAGCCGCCTCATGAAGCAACTGCGATCGTCTACACCGCCAAAGAACCGACAGAACGCCGGTGCCCCCCTGGGGCCCGACTCGGCACCCGACTCGGAGGAAGAGGCTGAGGTCATCAACCCCAACGCAAAGGAGAAGGGCCAGGCGCCGCCACTGCCGGACGACTACCGCATCGATGTCATTGGAAGGATCCTCGACATGTGTGCCCAGAACAACTATGCGAACCTGGTCGACTTTGACTGGTACATTGATGTCTTGACACAGCTTGTTCGCATGGCGCCGGCGCCGAGGCCTGTGGGTACAGAGCTCGAATCTGCCTCGTCGTACGGAAGCTCGACGTCGGGCGACATTTCTGAAAAGATTGGCGACGAGCTGCGCAATGTCTCTGTCAAGGTCATGGCCATGAGGCGATCCGTCGTCATGGCGGCGGACCTCATCCTGACGCAGCTCAACGCCGATACGCCGCCGGGCCACTTCATCACATCGGCGTCCATCAAGTCGATTGCTTGGATTGTCGGAGAGTACCCCATCATGCTCTCTTCCACAGACGACTCCCTGACGACACTCTTACAAACAATCCCGCGGACCAACATTCCCGAGATACTCATCACCTGCCTGCAGGCTGTCGCCAAGGTCTTCGCCTTCATCGCAAGCAACGACAGACAACTGTGGACGCCAGAGTGGAAGTCCAGGATAACACTGCTCATGGCCCGCGTCATCAACATCCTCGAGCCTCTGGCCCTGCACCCAAGCCTCGAGGTGCAGGAGCGGGCCGTCGAGTTTATCGAGCTCCTCAAGCTCACGGCGGAGGCTGCGTCAGGGCACGACATATCAACAGAGGAAGCCGAGCAAGACCCCCCGCTCCTTCTTACCCAAGCGATCCCTTCGCTCTTCCAGGGTTGGGAGCTCAACTCTGTCGCGCCAGGTGCGCAGCGGAATGTCCCCATCCCCGAAGGTCTCGATCTCGACGAGCCCATTCACTCAAATCTCAATGCTTTGCTGGCGAGAGCAGACTTTTTGCCGGCCAGCACCGAAGAGGCGGACGACTTTGAGGCCTACTACCACCAACGCCCTGCACCAACAAGCGTCTCCTCTTCGGAGCCGGCTATCAACAGAATCGCAGATGTCGCGACCGAGGAGAACGTGTCGTCATACCAGCAGCCGACAGAAGACACGTACCTTGACGCTGACATCATCGCTCGCCGCAAGGTTGAGCGCCAGGAGCGCAACCGCGACGACCCCTTCTACATTGGCGGCCTTGGCTCCGGCTCCGGCTCCGGTTCCGGTGGCGCCTCGACACCCATTCACAACATTCTTCAGAGGGAAAACGGCCCGGACCTCGATATTGACTCGATTCCCATCATGCAACTGGACCTCGACAAGCTCGGCACCTCTGCGCCGACGTCCTCTTCCTCTCAGCAGCAGCATCACCTTCTCCAGCAAAGGCCACCGCCGCGGCCCCGCCAGCGCGTCGTCGTCGCCGCAGACGAGACGCTCGCAGGCACGGCGGCAGGGGCCACGAGTGGCCTCTCGACGCCCCGCGCCTACGAGTCGGAGAACAACTCGGACAGCTTCACGCGCAGCCGCGCCAAGAAGCTCCGTCAGGGCCTCCTGCACGTCGACTCGTCGCACATTGGCACCTTTAGTCTCGAAGGTGACAATGACGCCGCCAGGGCCGGGGGCGCCGGCGCCGGTGCCCAGGCGAACCCGTACGACTACGAGATACAGCAGCGCGAGGAGGCCGAGATGGCGCAGGCCGTGAAGGAGGTCGAGAGGCTGCGGCTCGAGATGCAGCGCGCCAACGAGCGCATCTCGGTCGCGCAGGGCGTCGATGCCGAGGGCACCGTCGTCAAGCGCAAGGTCAAGAAGAAGAGCAGCGCCGCGGCTGGGGACGGCACAGCCGTCAAGAAGACGACCAAGAAGAAGAAGAAGGTCGAGGGGGGAGAGACGCTGATCGAAGGAGACGCGGCGACGGGGGCAGTCGACGGAAACGGCGAGCCGGCGGTCGTGGTGGCCAAGAAGAAGAAAAAGAAGAAGGCACCGGTTGTCATAACGGACGACGCCGAGGCGCAGACGGGGGAAAGGTCGTGACATCCGGCACCCACGTAGAAGAATGGAGGCAGCCAGGCTCACGACAAAGACGTCTGTCCGGTCATGAAAACAAATGATTGACGCGTTCTTTCTTCTTTGGGGCTCTTTCGTAGAGCACCAGTGATTGTTCCTCTCCCGTGACACGTCATCGACAACAGGTCAAAATCACAGAAACCAGACGAGTTTGAGAATAAGATCAGATTTCAGACAAGAGAGGACGCCTAACCCCTCCCCCCCCCATAGGAGAGCCTGCCATACGAGAGCAGAACCCCGCCAGTCATATCACTCGTCTCGTTTCGGCGCATTGGGCTGGGGGAAGAAAAAGAAGAGTAAAAAAAAAAAAAAAAAACCTGAAAACATTCACGGCGTGCTACTAGTTACAACTCCTCTCTTCCCTTATCTTGACCTCTGCCTCTCCTTCTATACGTGGAATCATATCGGGACAACAGTCCAGGCGAGGGCGGATTCGTCATGCGCGCCGCCTCTCGACCGACGGCCTACTACTCCCATGGTGCTTCTTGATTTTTCAGAACAAGGTGCACAGGGGGACATGTGTCGTGCTCAGTTGTCCATGGGCTTGTCCTCGAGCGTGACGCCCCTGGGGGCGATGACCTCGGCATTGCCCGCGCCTGACGAAGCCGTGACGCGCCGACCGCCTGCGAAGCGGGCTCCCGTGCGGCCGAGGCTGTTGCGCTTCTCAATGGGTGAGTCGCTGAGGCCTTCAATCTTGGAGAGCATCGACTCGACGGCGCCGACGGGCGCACCGTTGGCCGGCATCGACTGGCGCTCCTGCGTGCGGCCGCGCGGCGTGTGCTCGGCCGGGCTCGGGCTAGGGGGCACGTCGCCGTTGGGTTCGGGCACCTCGAGCGAGGCCCGCTTGGCGGTCGCCGCGGCGACGGCAGCAGAGCTGTTGGCTGTGGCGCTGGCGATGCTGCCGAGAGATTGGCGGTGGCGGTCCGACGCCGACGTCGGGCTCGTCTGGATAGGGAATCGGGTCTCCGGGCCTCCAACCGAACGGTCGCGGCGGTGACCTGTGCGAGGGCCAGGAGCGGGCGACGTGGCGCGGCTGCGGCCACCCGAAGCCTTCTCGAGCAGGAGCCTATTCCGCTCCTCCATGTTGGCGCGGCGATTGCTCTCGTCGGTACTGATCGCGCGAGGGCGGTTGCCACCGCCGCCGGCACCAATGCTGCCTCCACCAGCGTTGAGTGAGTTACCGGCGGACATACGCTTGAGCTCCGTAAAGATGGGTTCCTTGTACTGGAAAAGGTCGCGGATGAGGCGGTAGGCGTGCTTCTCCTCCATTGTGAGGGAGGTTTCGGTGCGCGGGCGGAGGATGCAGGGGGCGAGCGTTGTGGCGAGGGCGTTTACATACTCCTCGTCAGCCGAGGTAAGGTCGATGAGGCGGGTGAAGTGGTTCATGCAGGCGTCGAGGGTGGCAATGTTAGTGAGACGAAGCTGGGCGAGTGTCTGCTGAAGAATAGATATCCTCGAGGCTTCTGACGTTTCTGCGGATTGTGCGGACTGTGCTGTGTAAACCTGGCGGACGATCTCATACATGTGAGCGGAGACGAGGGAATCTTGTAAATATCAGCAAGAGTAATCCAAAAGCGCATCCCGAACTACTTACCGGGAAGTTCGAGGAGGTACAGCTTGAGCAAGCTGGCCACGGTCGGTATGTCAAACTCGCTGAGAATTTCTGGCGAAAGCGGCTTGCCGTCGTTTATTCTGGAGCGGAGCTTATGTGTGTGCGTCAGCGGAACGTCCACTAGCCAGACATCCCGCCTGGTTTTGTCGCCTTCTAGTTCAGGGTATTGGTTGTCGAGATAGGTGAGGAGCGTTGTGACGACAATGGGGACGCGCTTCTTATCCGCCTTAGCTCTAGCCTCGAGATCCACGCCAAAGGTCTGCTCGTCGACCTTGTTGTAGTAATTCTCGTACACAACAACCTTGGGGTGGAAGCCGCCAGTGCGATAGTTCTCCAAGAGGTAGCGCAGATCGCTGGCAGGTTGTACCGTCTCCTGGAACAGCATCATGTTGTCGACGGCCGACTGAAGCGTCGGGATGACGTTGCTGATGGTGCCTGAAAAGTCCAAAACGACAGTCTTGACAGCCTTGAGCCTGTCTAGCTCGCAACGCTCGAGGAAACGGAGGTGAAGGAAAATATTCTCCTCGAGGTCGCATCGAAGCTCGTCGAGCTTGCGCACGGCCGCCTTGTACTTGTCGTCAGCCTCGCGGGCCTCGCGGCGCAGGCGGTCAGCCGGCGTTTCATTGGGATGCGCGTTGTTGAGAACGTTCCAGTTGGCGAGATATTCGCTGACGGTACCTACAACGGGAGAATCGGAGCCGCCGTCGGAACCTGGCATGGAAAATGTCCTCCCAAGCGTCTTCTTGTTCTCCGGTACACCCGCCATCTGGAAAGCCTTGGTCTTCCACTGATACATCATCTTGGAACTGTTGGCGAAGCTGTTGCCGACGTTGCCAATTAGTCGCAGAAACCCGTTAGAGATCAGATCCTGGCCAATCCTCTCGGCGTAGCTGATGCTGGTGGTACCCATGTTGCGCTGAAGATATTCGACAATGTCGGTGCCGGGCGATGTGTTTTGGTAGGTTCCCATAATTGGCACCTTGTGCTCGCCCAGCGGGATCGTGTTCAGCATGTGAGCGAGAATCTTCTTCATCTGTTCAGGTTGATAGACTTCATCGCCAATTTCAATGGGCTCATCATCTTCTTCGGGAATCTCGGGCTCCTTGTTCTCGGAAACTTTGATCTCGGGGATGTTGCTGGCCGTGACAGCATTAGGGCTCGTTTCGGGATCTTGGAAGGCGAGTTTGTTCTCCTCCTCGATATCTTCGACGAGACGACACTTGTTAAAGTAGTTGCTCCGCAGCTTCTTGGCCAGCTCAGCCTGACGGTCGTGTGCCTTGATGCGCGTCTGCAGATCGTCTTGGGAATCTTGAATGCGAGATTCGTGGGCGTCGCACCAGCGAGTGAAGGGGTTCACGACGAGGTCACGGATGCTCTGAGCAATTTTCTTGTGGCTTCGGGCCGCATCTTCCATCTCGATTCGGACGCCGTCGTAGGCCTTGTGGTAAGAGCATTAGCAAAAGGATTTCTTTTTCCCCCGAAATATCGTGAAGGCTGGATCTCTTCATGTACCTTGCGGACGGTGGCACCATCATCTCTAGCGAAGCCGCCTTGGATTCGGTCGGAAGCTGGCGCAATGTCGCTAAGCCTGGTGCCGTAGAGATCTTCGGCTTCGGCTCGCATGCGGGCGATGGTCAATATCTGCCGGTTCTCGAGGACGCCCTGCTGCAGCTTGCCAAACAGGACCCCGAGGCCTGGTGAGGCGTCAGCGACTGCGGCTTGGGGAAGGGGCGACGAGCAATATCGTCAATCGCGGTGGCGCATTCGGCTCAGCCTAACTTACCGGCGGCATAGTCTGTCGACCAGAAAGACTCTGCGAAGCCCGGCATGGTGGAGAGTTGTGAGCCAAGTTGAGGTATGACGTCAAGGGCAATAGTCGCGATGCGACAAAAAATAAGGCAGGCAAACAGAAACAAAGGGTGCAAGGGAAGGGACAGAGGAGGCCCGAGGCAGAAAGATGCGAAGTAAAAGAAGTGGGCTAGATGTCTTGATCTCACACGGCCATGAATGGACGATCGATTTGGCGGTTGGATGAAATGCAAGGGGCTAGGAGAGATGTTTCGTTTCGGCCTGGTTCGCGGGTATCGTGTCGGGGGTACGTATGCGCCAGGCAAGGATCGTCGATGGGCGTCACCAGTGGTGTTACACTTCGTGTCGTCGTGGCGAAGGGGTGGTTGGGGGAGGGCGATGAGGAAGAAATCAATGTTGTCGTGTCGTGATAGCCAGCCGAAGAAAATGAGTGACCAAGGTGTATGCTTCGTGGTCTGAAGAGGCTGCCCTGGACAGGACAAGGCCCGGACATTGAAGAGAAGAACTACTGCAGGCTGAGTCGTGTTCGCCCCTGGTGTGTTGCTCTTGCTGCTGCTATTCCAGGGCCCTTTCTGGGTCTGTTCAGGGGTCGATGCGCAGGAGGTCGTCAGCCGCCCAGCCCAAGGGAAGCATGGGGCGGCACGTCCACCCAGATACCTAGGTACCTACCTAAGGTACCTACCTACTTGCAGCTCTTCTCGTGTCGCGAGCAGGCAGCCTGATGTGGGGGGGTGAGCAAACCAGGGTTGACAGCGCAGCTACAGGCGCTTGGGGCCTTGTGTATCATCTCTCATTGGTTCAAGGCATCGAGTTGGCTCTGGAGCGACAGCATGGGGAAAGCTTCCAAGGCTGTTTCGGCGCGGGAGTCCCTGCTGGTGTCCCTGAGAGCCCCTCCCAAGAGGCCGCCGAGTGCCCTGAGTTGTGGTGCATACAGTTGCCGCCAGGTGCATGCCCACAGCCTTTCGTCTGAACTTGCTGTGTTGGAACCCAGGTACAGCTTTGAAGCCGCATCATCGTCATTTCACTACACGCAAACTAACTATGGCGATGCACCGACAGCTTCATGCTTCTGGGCTCGGCCTGCAAGCAAGACTGCTAAGGCCACGATGTTCTTAAGTGCCCTGGGTCTAGACTCACATTTCATAACTGTATTTGCCGCATGGACTCGCAGGACTCTCTGGTGATGTTTGAAAAGGGTCAACTGCTCAGGAAATTGCACGGCTGACTAACGGGTCTACCTCAAGACGGAATGCTGCTTGGATCAGTTCAGTATTCGTCATCAGCCACCTTGATCTTTGAGCTCTACATTTTCCCTTACGACAATTCGCTTTGTCCTTGCACTAGTTGACGGTCACCTGTTTGATTATTGAAGAATCTCCATCCACACAGTCTGAATTGTTTTGAAAGCTTGGGTCAGGTAAGGTTCTTCCCAAGCTGTCCACCTTTTCACGAAGCATGAAGTCTACTGCGGGTTGGAGACCAATGATGCCCTCGCGGCCCATCTAGATGCATCAACCACTGAGGACTGGCGGAAACGGCCCCATTGGCTCGGGCTTAAATAAAGAGCAGTCGAGCCTTTAACGTGAATGACTCTAAACAAATGATAGTTACTGACGATCGATCTCCTAGCATGGCCCAGCACAAATATCATCGGCTTAACAGAGCCGAAGACCAGTCCATGCTTGGCTCGGTTGAAATTCATTACCCCAAGGAACTGGGAGATGACGAATTCGTCCCGGGCCCCAAAGCTCGATCTCTCGCCATTAAGCGACTGATTGCTGCCATTGTCATCGTACTTGTCATCGGCTTGTCCATCTCGAAGCCGCTCGCATTCTGGTGTCACAAATCTCGACATGGGCCTCTAACATACGAGGAACGGGCTCAAAAGATCTTGAAAGAAACTCCCCTGATTGGTATGTGATCCGAGAGCCGGTCCTTGTATGTCTCCTTACCCTCAAGCAGACGGACATAATGACTTGCCCATCCTTGTTCGATTTCTATACAATAACCACATTGATGGCAAGAACTTCACCGAGCCCTTCGAAAATGGAGGCATGTATGGCCAGGTTGACCTGCCTCGACTGAAGGAGGGTCTCAATGGCGGTGCTTTTTGGAGCGTTTTTACACCCTGTCCCGCTGATGGGAGTAATTTCTCTGATGATAACTACGCCCCTAGTAAGTCCAGCTACTGTTGCTTCGGAAACAATATTGACTGTCTCCAGGTATTCAGATGACACTGCAGCAAATTGACCTCATGACGAGGATCAAAGATGCCTACCCAAATGTCTTCTCCCCCACAGTCAACAGCAGCACGGCACTAAAGGCGTTCAAGGACGGCCAGCTCATCTCACCACTAGGCGTTGAAGGCCTGCACCAGATCGGCAACTCCGCCGCCAACCTGCGCACGTACTATAACCTCGGTGTGCGCTACTCGACACTCACCCACAACTGTCATAACAAATTTGCCGATGCTGCTATCCTGGAGAATCCTCTTCGCAAGGCCGAGCCTCACTGGCACGGCGTCAGCCGTCTCGGCCGCCGTCTCGTCAACGAGATGAACCGCCTCGGCATGTTTGTCGACCTGTCGCACGTCAGCGAGGACACCATGGTCGACGTTCTCGGTGGGAATGAGACCTGGACCGGCAGCAAGGCGCCAGTCATTTTCTCTCACAGCTCGGCATACAGCGTCTGTCCCCACCCTCGTAACGTCAAGGACCATGTCTTGCACCTAGTGAAAGAACGCGATTCTCTGGTCATGGTCAACTTCAGCCCGGATTTTATCTCTTGTGTTGACGCTGGACACGAGAATGGCCTTCCTGACTCTGTCCCGGAGAACGCAAACCTGGGCCAGGTGGTAAAGCACATCCTCCACATTGGCAACCTGATCGGTTTTGACCACGTCGGTTTGGGGTCTGATTTTGATGGCATTCCTACCACGCCTACTGGCCTGGAAGATGTGTCCAAATTTCCCGCATTGGTGACCGAGTTGCTGAAGCAGGGAGTCAGTGATCAAGATGTCTCCAAAGTCGTTGGCGGCAACTTGCTGCGTGTTTGGAAAGAAGTCGATGCCACAGCCGTAAAACTGCAGGCCGCCGGCGAGCCCGTATTGGAAGACGACTTGCCTAGCCTGACCTTCGAAGGCGCAGATTCTAAGGATCCGAAGTCAGGCGCCAAACTTGGATGGGACAGGCGGTAATTCTTTACATAGATGTAGAGACACCACGAGCATCAAGTTGACCAATTAGCCCTCCTACATAATATGAGATCGGAAGCTGCCAGTAGAATCACTCAGAGCCAGGATCATGCGGCGATTCTTTCCCCCGTGGCTACCCTCTAAGTGCGTTCGACTCAGCGGTACATATCATTCAAAACCCACTCATGCATCTTAGATGTGTCTGAATCGTGGTTATTGTTGTTGTACATTGGCCGGCACACATTGCATCCGGATCTCTATCAGAATACACTGAATGGTTACACGCACGGACATCGCTAATGACCGGCTTCGCCGTCATCCATCTCCAATAAAGCCATGTTCGATCACCGTTTCCTGTCCACCCTGTTGAGCTTCTTTGCCGTTTCGATCTGTGTTCTCGTACGCTGGCCTCTCGCCGGCAGGTTCATGGCGTGCCGCCTTCCTCTGTAGCTACCCATATCCTTCAATCTCTGGATATTCTCGCGCAGGACCTTCTTCGCGTCGTTCTCAATCGTCATTACCGACAATTCGGCAGTTAATGAGGTAATGGTCTTGGGTGCCAGGGAGCCGACTTTGGCCCATGGGTGGATGGAGTATTTGGCGAGAATTCGCTGGGAGACGCTGGGACCGAGAGCATAAAAGGATTCGAGAGCTTTCTGTAGTCGGCAGTTAGTCCCTGTCGGAGCGGTATGACGATGCTGAAGGGCGGATAGGAGTGTAGTGTGAATATACCTTCACGAGCTTCTGCTCTGAGAAGTTAACGCCTAGAATGAAAACCTACAAGGTGTCAGTAACAATCCCTACATCCATATGTTTTTGAAGACCAACCATGTTGTCTGGCTCGGGGCGTAGCCAACAATTCGCGTTCAAAGTTCTTTCGCGACAACAGTCCCAAATCGATGGACTGGTTGGATGTCGAGTCGAGTTCGATGCGGACCAAAAATTGAAGGCTGAGCCACAGTGATGTGGCGCATGGGCTACGGCTTATCGTAGTGATAAATCCGATAGTGTCTGGTCGAGCCTGGCGGGACGCAAACCCCCTGCCCCGCACGCCGTGGTCACACCTTCTGCTGTAGTACCGATTCAGTGCTGGTGGCGGGACCTTAGGCGAATGCCTGCAGGGGTCCAAGCTGTGGCCCCCCCTACTTCGCCATCCGTGAGGGGGAGAGTTGAAACGTGGTAGCTTCCGGGACAGTACCAGCTGGCTTTTACCACCTGTTCCACCTACACTACATTGTGAGTTTCCTCCTCGCATAGCATCATCACGAACCAACCCAATTGACTTTCTTGAGCATCCATCAATATGTTCAACTTGCGACGCATCGTCCTCTCCGCCGCTCTGCTCCTCGGAGTCAGCATGGTCTTGTTCGCCCAGACGGCTGAGGCCACCAAGGGCCCCAAGATCACCAACAAGGTCTACTTCGACATTACGCAGGGTGACGAGCCCCTCGGCCGTGTTGTCCTCGGCCTTTACGGCAAGACCGTCCCCAAGACCACCGAGAACTTCCGTGCTCTTGCCACTGGCGAGAAGGGCTTTGGCTACGAGGGATCTAGCTTCCACCGTGTCATCAAGCAGTTCATGATCCAGGGCGGCGACTTCACCAAGGGCGACGGTACTGGTGGCAAGTCCATCTACGGCGAGAAGTTCCCCGACGAGAACTTCAAGCTCAAGCACACCAAGAAGGGTCTTCTGTCCATGGCCAACGCCGGTCCCGACACCAATGGCTCGCAGTTCTTCATTACCACCGTCGTTACCTCGTAAGCTTTCTCCACCTTGCAATGACGGGGACATGAACTGACCGACGAACCAACAGTTGGCTCGACGGCCGCCACGTCGTCTTTGGCGAGGTTCTTGAGGGCTACGAAATTATCGAGAAGATCGAGAACGCTGCCACCCAGCCCGGCGACCGCCCTACCAAGGCTGTTAAGATCGCCAAGAGCGGCGAGCTGGAGGTGCCCCCCGAAGGTATCCACGTGGAACTCTAAGCACAACACGTACTGTAGCCCACCGTTCTTCATACTCCTGTCAAATTGGCATTCTCGTCTTCTGTTCTGCTCTGCTCCCCTTGTCGCGCATGCTGATGCTTGGGGTGTTTGTTGCAGATCTCTACGGGAATGCCCAGTTTGCTTCTGGGCAATCTACCGAGGACACGCCTCTGCATGTTGGTTCTCAGGCTGAGGGCTGGTCGTTCATCCAGAAGGGTCTCCTCTTTGGCGTTGTCCTCGCCGTTGTCGCCATTTACTTCCGCATGAACAAGAAGAACGACTCTTTCCACGAAAAGTCCTTGGCTTAGAAATGCCAGATTACATAGTCGGAAATGGTAGAGCACATATAAGAAGAAAAAACTTTGATCACTACCTGCCTTGTGATGACTGCTCAAGGATGTGTTGGGCTGCAAAACCGCAAATTTTCTAGTTGTTGATCCATATGGGGAGTTTGACGCTTACTGTGAACTTTCGCCCCTCCCCCAGTTGGCTCTCATCACCAAGTGTGGGGTCATGAACCTCACTCAGATAAAAATTTCCCTCCATACCACATCTTCAAAACCCGAGCCTCCTGACCGCCAGCGACTCAAATTTCGAGGGGGCAAAAACACAAATCTCACTACTGAAAATGAAGATTCTCAGCCTTAACTTCTTGACGTGCGCCGTCAAGGCGTGCAAGTCCTCCACCGCCTCGTACCCACTGCACCCCAAGGACGCTGAGCTTGTGCAAGACGAAATTGAGCTGAATGAGCAGATGCTGCTTAACGTGCTGCCCCGCCTGGATTGGACTGCGCTGCGGACAAACGCGACTGAGGCAAGTCATGCTACGTCCTTTTACCATCACGAGATCGTCCTGTTTTCTCACTTTGTCCTCTCTCTCATTCTTGCGTCGATTCGTAACAGCCCCGACACATGTTTTCCACGCTCTAACGTCACCCTAGCTTGGCTTCCCCGAACTCCCTGCCGAGGCGCCTACCGCTGAGGCCCTGCAGAGCGACGAGAAGACGCTAAAGGACTTGCACCACCTTCTCATGGAAACGCAGATCTTGGAGGGCAAGCTCGTGTGCGGCAACTGCGGCCACGAGTACGCTATTCGCGAGGGCATCGCTAACTTCCTGCTCCCGAGCCACCTGGTCTAACTGGCTTCCCTGTCACCCCATACGCGTAATGAGAGATGAAAGACTTGCCCCCTACCCCCCTCCAGAAAACAGCGGCAGTGGGTATGGGAGTGCAGAGTCGCACGGACGGGGCGGTTGTTGTGATGGCGTTCAAAGGCGTTTCAACCGCGGCATGATACGGATTGGGGGCAAATCAAGTCCCTCGACCTTTTCTTCAATTCAGACGCAATTCATACACTCAATGGTTCTCTACAACGAGCAGACGGCCCGCATGGGACAATCGCGCACCCTCCTCCTTGATAATGCCTCATGAACCACCCGTAAACTCCCGTGTCCGTGTCTTATAGATTACATGCTTTGCACAATCGACACAAAGCCTTCTTCTGGCCACAGAGGGCGTAACGCTTAGTTCTGCTTCTTGTGCGCGGCAGGTCCGTTCTCCTTGTCAAATGCGCCGTACGAAACCTCAAGGCTACCGAGGGCACGCAGACCGACGCCGAGGATGGATAGAAGGAGGATAGAGATGACGAGAGCATGGAAAATGCCTGCGCGTGTTAGCTCGTTGTGCCTGGCAAGAAGACTCATAGCAACATGGGGGGCACCTACCAGGCGTGAAGAATTGGTACTTTTCGAAAAGCCCCAACTTCTCCCACTCGGTGTTGTTGTCGGCGCGAGGGGCGGAGACAACGCGAGCACGGAGCCTCTTCAGGTCCTCATGGAGGGGCTCGTTAAACTCCGCTTCGTAGGATGTCTGCTCCGACGGGCTGGTAAGATAGATGACGGTGAAGTCCTCAAGCTCGAGGACCTCATCCAGTGTGATTTTGATAAGCTGGTCTGTGCAAAGGTCAGTCGGAATTCTTTGACTCTGTGATGACGCAGCATACCATTGTCTGCCAGTTGGCTGTCGCGGCCAGAGGAAGAAAGGCCAGGGAGCAGGGTGTTCCAGATCTTAGGAGTTCTGCTTTGCTTGGCGCAGCCGGAGTTGATGTAACCGGTAACAGCGGCAACTTCGACCGCGCCCAGAACCTCTGCCACGCCGTAACGACTGCTGACTTTGTCGCTCGAGATGGCGCTGCAGACGCTAGGGACTTTGCAGCCCTCGCCGCGAATATCGGCCGCGTTCGCGTTCGGCTGAGAGATGACATAGTAGTTCTCGGTCGGGCAGGAGTCGAGGATATTCTGGACGGCGCTCAGGACTTGGGTGCCGGTCTGCAGCTGGGCAGCATCGGGGGTTTGCGCGAACCTGCGGCAAGTCAGTACAACTGGCTAGCTATGCGAAACGAGATGGCCCTAGGCTGCACGTACTTTGCTGTGGAGAGGAGTACGAAGGGGGAAGAGCTGGACAGGGCGCTGGCCGAAGCGGCGAGGGCCAGAAGGCCGGCTTTGTGTGATGTGCGCATGACTGGTAATGTTGCGGTCGACCAGTTGATGCTGTGTACCTAGATGGCAGCCTTGTCGTGATGAAGTCGTTGGCTGAATGACGGTACCTGTTCGAGCTCAGGCCCAGATGCAGGTAAGCGTCACAGCGAGCTGTCTAGGCGCATACTAAACTGCCGAATCACGTGTGGCCGAACCATGCCATTCAGTCTCCATGTGCAAGACAGATGCATTCTAAAGAGAGCAAAATGCCTGATGAGAATAAATTCAATGGTTTCATCGCAATGTAGCGCTACGGATCCAGAGTCATTGTCGTGCAGATACTGCTTAGAATCTAGCTTTGCGAGGTCCTTCACTGCCAGCACCGTGTCGGCTTCCTCGAAGATAGTCCTCTTCTGCTCTGATTGCCTATGAGACCTTATTGCACCAGTTTAAGTTTCGCGATCGGTCACAACGCAACCTCTCATAACCGCGATTTCTGTGCCCCTGCTGCTCGTAACACATGATGGATATGAAATACAACAGGCAGAGACGGAAGCAAGACAGCAGTATGCCAAGAACGACTTCATGCTCATTACAGAGCACAGTTTGCAGCGCATAGAAGCACTACCTTGTAAGAAGTCAGGCCCCAGGTGGTTGCAGCGACAGGGCCCTCTAGCGCGTGGACGGCCATTCCATGGCGAAGCTCCTAGCGCGGGGAGATCCGGCGTAGTGGGTCTGTGCAGCCGCAGGCTGCGATTCTTCAGGTGCAAGCCCGCGCCCAAAAAAAATCCAGCATCAAGCAGCAGACAGTTGCCCAATTAGACCAACTACACCACCACATAGATCGCTCGCAATGTTCGCCCAACCACGAGTAAAGAAAAGCACACTGCCGCCTCCTAAGAAGAGGAAAGCGGCCTCGGCTGTTGAGGAAGTTAACTTTGACTTCGACCAACGCGAGGATTACTTGACGGGGTTCCACAAGCGGAAGCAACAGCGCATCAAGCTTGCGCAAGAACAGGCGGCCAAGAAGGACCGAGAGGAGAAGATCGAAATCAGGAAACAAGTAAGAACGCAATGCACCATATTGCTCAAACGTGTGTATTCTGACATTGGCCGGTATAGGTTAGGGACGACCGCAAGCGCGAAGTAGAAGACCATGTGAACACCGTCAACAAGCTTTTGCGTGAGGCGCAAGCAGCAGATTCAGGCGACGATCAAGAAATCAACGGAGAAGACTTCGAGGAGTGGGATGGCATTGAGGAGAAACAGCCTGAGGTCATAGACTTCGAGGACGAGTACATCGACGAGGACCGCTTCACAACAGTCAAGGTTGAGGCCATCGCAGTTACAAGGGACGGTTTCGAGAAACTGCACGATAACGACGACTCGGAAGACGAGAAGAAAGAGGAGGACGAAGATTCGGAGAAAAAGGGCGCGGAGGAGAAGAAAACTCCCAGGGCGCGCAAGGAGTGGCCCAAGAAGAAGGCGAAGTTCCGATATGAACAAAAGTTCGACCGTCGCATCGAAGAGAGGAGACAGAAGGCTAAAAAGAAGGCGAAATACAAAGGCAAGGAATGATTTGCCTCGGACATCGTAATGATCTCCCGAGCACACGCAGCAGCTGTTGGTGCCTGGCCTGCCTAAGCTTCCGCATAGAGATAATGGATACCCCCGGCTGCCTCACCTCGGCCTCCCTAGGTCATATAACTGTGAAAAGCACAACTGGACGCCCATTTCGCAAAATGCTATACTGTCGCAAATTTGGAAATCGGAGACAACAGTTCCACCGCTGCGGCTCCTGAAGGTTCTCAAATGACTGGAAGTCCATACTGTCACCCTACAACGTCCGCCGCAGGCTCTATCATCAAGAGAGCATACACGCAGCAATAACGTCAACCTCAACAACTTGAATTAGATGTTGCCAATCTCGTTCTGAAGCTCTTCGAGCTCCTTCTTGAGTTCCGTGTGCTTCTTCGCCATCTCCTCGTACTTGGCCTCCCACTGGTCACGCTCGACCTCAAGGGCCTGCACCTTGCGCTCAAAGTGGCCAGCCTTGACGTCGGTCTGACGAAGTCTGTCATTTCTCGTTAGCGGGCATTCTTCTCTGTACTTGGTAGGAGCGTTATCGCAGCGTACTTCTCGTTAGCCTCGCGGAGAGTCTTGTCGGCATCCTCGGCCTCCTCCTCAAGAAGCTGGAGCCTCCGCTGCAGGGTCTCGTTCTGAGTGCCGGTAGTTGTGCTCTCGTCGGCAGCCTTCTTGTGATCCTTAACACTGCCCTCAAGCTTCTCGACTTCGGCCTCGAGAAGACCGTTCTTGTGCTGCAGCGAGGTGATTTCCTGCTCCTTGGACAGGTTCTCCTGCTCGAGAACCTTGACCTTGGACTGGAGCTCCTCAACCTTGGAAGATGCCTCGTCGGCCTCCAGGCGAAGCTGGTTCATTTTCTATGCGCGAAAAGAAACGTCAGCACCGCAACTCGATATAGGGGGTTTTACCCCTCCAGGACAACCAGTGCTAGTGGGGCATCCCCAAAGAAGGCAGGAAGCGTACCTCCTTGATGCGGTCCATGATGTCGGTTTCTGAGGTACGTAGAGTAGCGATGAAAGTGAAAACGAGGCTTTGGCAGCAAGTGTTGTGTCGTAGAGGAAGATCTTGGAATGACGGATGGCTGGGTTGGTAAAGGTGGTGAAGGGGCAGTGGGAGGAAATAACGAAGCACCCCCTCTATGTGCACAGGGCCCCGGTACTGCAGAGCTGGGAGCCAGTCCTCTGACAAGGTGGCCGTGCACCAACAGATCTAGGCAGGGGAATGGTGGGGATGATCAGGCGGGGCGGCTTGAGCTGTGTGTGGCCTTGGCTGATCGCGCACCGCCGACCGTCGCCTACTAGGCTCCTGCTCGGTTAGTTGTCCCGACAACCGTTCCCAAACACATGTTGCCAATTCTTCGCCTCCTATCTGGCCAACAACCAACCGTCCAACAAACATCCAACAACGCAGACCCTGTCCGAGTATCATTCGATAATAATCGCGGAACGACACCTGCGCCAATCGTGCCGCAAGGCTCAACAAAATGCTCGCTCTTCGTGATGAGAACGCGGTCAATGCGGCCCAGACGATCCGGCAGGCTCAAGGAAAGGGGCATCTGGCCCCTAAGACGCCTGGAGCCCGGTACCCCAAGACGCCGTCAGGACATCACGATGAAAACGCCGTTGGTGGGAAGACCATTCTCGGCAAGACGAAAGGCACAATCAATCAGCCGGCTCGTCAGAGACTTGTCACTCCTTCAGGTATGGCTCAGCTACTTCTAGCGTGTCGCACTGCTTGAAAGCAAACTAACGCAGCATATCAGGCACGCAGGCTCGCGCTCCTCTTGGAAACAAAACCACCAATGCGAAAGCGAAGAACGGACAAGTACAAGGTGTGAAGAGTATTGTCAAGGAGCTCGAGAAGACCGACGCCAAACAAAACACAATTCAGAAGCCGAAGAATAAGGGCCCGGCTGTTGACCCTCTAAAGGTTGCTGTTCACATCGACCTGGGTGGGGACGAACATGAGATTGAGCATGCCCCGTTGCGGGTTAAAGACCTGCCTTACGAGTCGGATGTATTCCCTGAAGGTGGTCTGAACTTCAACGGTCTCAAGAAGGAAAACATGTTCAAGGGCTACTACAACCATTTCTACAACCCTCTTGGCGAAGACGGCCTCAGATTCGAGGACCGTAAGCACGAAGAGCGGATGCAGAAAGCTCTCAAGAAGAACGACGAGGAAATTATTCACGACATCGATTCGATGGACTGGTCCGTCTCGGATGTCCCGGAAACCAGGAAACTTGTTCAGAAGAAGACGGCACCAGTAGCCAACCTTACGAAGATGAACGCCAAGCCTTCCGTCAAGTATCCAGCCACAATCAACTCGCGCAGAGCTGCTTCAGCTTTGTCCATGACTGAAGGCTCGACGGTGAGGGCAAAGAAGTTGCCCGACGTCCCCGTTCGAAGGCCTATCTCTTCACTGCTACCTGGTAAAAGAGTCGCCAAAGCACCCACAGCGCCGTCCAAGTCGGTGGCGGCAGAGAGCGCTGTCGGGGAGGCTGCCTCAAGAAGCACCCTTGGTTACACCAAGGGCCGATCCGCTTCCTCGCTGATCAGTGGTCGAGCTCCGATGCCAGGAACGGTCACTGAGACGGCTAGAACCAACCCTCCGACCTCAGCGTCTGCATTGACTATACGACGAGATCCCGCTCCCCAGAAGCGACAAACCACCGAAGAAGAGCAGCAGTCTCTCCAGCGCCTTCAGTTCCTCTCCATCTTTGAACCTGAGGACGACATCGATGTTGTTGGGTCTGCTCCTCAATTTGATAATGACGAGGACGAAGAGTTTGAGTTGAAGCTGGAGTAACGAGTTAAATGATATACCTGGTGGCCTGGGCCTTCTATGTCATACCGGCTTAGCCAAAATCGATATCGCAACTGCGCAGACTGGGATCAAAACAGTGTATCAATAGCGAAAGCTTCTTTTAGGTTCTAATGAATGAATGAGACATGGCCATATCAAATTCCGAGTTTAATTATGGGCGGCACCGGGATCATCACTCAGTGCATGGGACTTGATTTCTGGTCCAGGAACCTTCGTCGGCGTTGCCGCCATCAGAAGCCTGATGTATTGGATGTAGCATGAGCGAAGGTGTGCATGCCCGAAGCAGAGAGGGGAACTGCAGAGCTGGGAAAGAAAAGCTCCGGAGAATGGGCGGGACCATCAACGATACCGCGAGATGGCAGCCATTAGAGACTTGGCACCAAACCAAGCACAATATCGAGACTGCGACAGACAGTGACTGCCATGCATGATGGTATGCCTCAAGATCCAGATACCCAGGCGACAGTGGCCCCAACCTCCTCAAAACGCGAGCTTGCAGGAGGGTCGCGAAAATGCGCGACAGCGCGCGACAGATGGTGGAGTCCAATTAAGTTCCTAGCCCATCACGTGCAGCCCGGCTGACCTGTGTGATCCTCTGAAGACTTGACTCTGGCGTACCATTGCCGCCAATGACGTTCGAAAGTTACCGGCCAACCAGGTACCGCTCTGAGCCTCCACCCAAGCACTGGAGTTGAGGTGGGTGGTCGGCGCTTCGCCATTCCTTGCTCCGTGGCCATCCCTGAAAGACTTTGGACAACACTGCTTCGGCTTCGTCTTTGGTCTGTCGCTCACGTCGCCGATTCAATCCATCAACGCGCAACGGATCGTGCGACAAAGCCCAATAGCCCCTGTCTTTCCATCAAACCTGCGCTTTCCTTGACGCGACAAACACAATCCGACATCTCATACTTCCTGCCAGCTTTCTTGGGCACCCTTGGCTGGTCGCGTGAACATACCCCCAACACAATATCCTTCACGATACAGCCTGTCGCGCATTCCACCCATACGCATGGTGCCCTTCTACGAGTATCATTCGAGAGCTAGGATGCTCGGAGGCTGGGCGAGGAGGTAGAAGCAGCATTCCTTCACGATGACTCGCCAGTCCAGCGCGGGTTTCGCGCAGTTCTTCCCAACTGCCCCGCGGGCAGCCAGGGAGAAGGCTACAGAGCGCGAGAAAGCAAGGCTAAGGACACAAGAGACGGCTGGCTCGTTGCTTGCCTCGCAGCCTGTTGTCCTTGCTGCTCCTGCCGATGGCCTCAATGGCCAAGCCGCACCTACAGACGCAAACCTGGTGAGCGGGTCGCATCACCAAGCAGAGGATCATGGGTCTCCTCTCGGCGAGATCCTGACCGCTGTTGGCTCTGCAAGCTCCCACGCAAGCACAGGTTCATCCATATTCAGCGCAACGACGCGGCAGTCCCTTGCCAGCGGCTTGTCTCAAAACGCAGCTGCAAGCACCGTCACCCCGCTCACTTCAATTGAGTCGCCCTCAGTCTCTGGTCATACACATCCACCGAAGCCGACCACATCCAACTCCCAGATTCCCGACCATCAGCAGTCGTCCACGGCTCACCATAGCCCAGCCCATATGCCGAATGGCTCATCAGATTCATACCCTGCCATTGATCGCGTTCCCGCGCGTGCCCCCGGTCGATCGCGAAAAGGTGTCAAATGCATCTATGACCCGTTACTCGATAAGACACTTTCGAAGGACAAGATCAGGGCCGCCAAGCCAACATTCAAAGAGTTTGGAATGGTACGTTCATCTATACTATACTATACCCACCTTGAAGGGGGGGCGTCATTTGAGGAGCGAATTGAGGCTAATGAGATGAGAGTAGGATGACGATGACGCCCCCCCTTCAGATCCTCGCCTAGCTATGGGCGGGCGATTGAATTACATGAACACCGACTTCCGTCACCACAAGTCTCGCCTCAGGCCCGCCGCATACAACCTGAAACCGTATCCTTTCGAGCCTAAGACCTCCATCGGCCCGGGCCCGCCAACACAGATCGTCGTGATGGGCTTCAACCCGCTCATCAACTTCCAGAAGGTCTTGCAGGCGTTTGCAACTTTTGGCGACATTGCCGAGAGCAGCAACAAGATGCACCCCGAGACAGGAAGCTATCTCGGGTTCGCAACCTTTCGTTACCGGGACTCCCAGCCCAGCCGATCCAGGCCTATGGCCATCAAAGCGATCGACGCTGCTCGGCGCGCCCTGAGGACCATGAATGGTCAACGCATCGAGAGCAACAACATCAAGGTTGAATACGATCCCAATGGCAAGAAAAGTGGCCGTATGCTTGAGGAAACTGTCAATAGGGACAGATCTACCCCAAACCCGTCAAATGTTCGACCTCCGCCAGCTGGGCCCAGAACAACAGCGCCGGAGCCAGCACACGGCCCGCCGCCAATGGCGCCTCGAGGACCTGCGGCGCATAGGCAAACTGCGACGCCAATGCCCACCGGCCCTGGCAGGCCTATTCAACCGATCAAACAACACAGCGTTGTAGAGGATAAGCCGATAGCACCACAGCTAGCTGGCGAGCCCTACATTTTTGTTCCAAGTGCTAAGGTCCCAGTCATGCATACAACTGTTCCACACATGAAGAAGAGACTCAAGGCACACTCTTTTGACGACATTCGTGTCGACCGAACGGGCTACTACATCGTCTTTCCAAGTTCGTCCTTGGGCCGATCTGAAGCAGAGCGATGCTTCAGAAATGTCCACAGAACTGAATTTTTCAACTACGAGTTCTATATGACGCTATGTTTGCCCCCGCTCATGGACGACAAGACCGAAACTACGGCTCATGCACCACGTCGACGAACTCCAAGCCCCGATCGCAAGCGAAAACAAGAAGTGCGGAACAGGGAGGATAACGACCGACGACGTCAAGAGGAAAAGAACGACCTGGAGGAGGAGAAGCGCCAAAGGGCCAAGAATTTTGATCCTGTGCAAGCAGCTCGGGAGGTCATCAGCCATGAATTGGCGGAGCACTTGATCAAGCACATTCGTACGCGGGTAGCAGCACCTGCCCTCACGGCGTTCCTTGACCCCAAGAACCATATTGCGAGACGACGGCAGCTTAATCTCGAGGACCCGATCGAGTCGACGCCCTCGCGCAAGACTGCAACAGGCAACGAAAGCCCCCAGGTCGGCACCCCGAATTCGGGTGCCGATCCTATCGAGAAGCGCACCGGGCGCCTCGAAATATCGGCCCTGCCGCGTATTCGCAAAATCAAGAATCCAGGACAGGCGCAGCAGAGGAACTACGGCTTCACCGATCCCTTTGCCCGGAAACGACCGCCGCAAGCGCGAAACGCCTTCCGCTCCCTCCACCACCGACTCAAAAGCTACGACAGTGATGTCGAATCGGATGATGAAGGCAGGAGATCTGTGGCTCGGGAAACTGAGGAGCCCGAATCTCGTCCTCGTAGCCGTATGAGTACGGATGATGAAGATGATGAAGCGTCGAAGGATGAGCTTGGCTCGTGGGGAGCTGCTGAAGAAGACTCCATGACCGAAGCCAGCTTCGCAGTTGGAACCCTACCCACAAAAAAGCGGAAGCTCGAGCTCGAGGCGCAAACTGCTCTGAAGCGACAGAAGAAGTCCGACGAGGAACTGTTCGGCGTCACTCTCGACCATATCGAGACTGGACTTCCTGTGCATCCCGTGTCGGAAGGTGTCACGCCCGAATGCGATCTGCCCGGCGGCAAAGAAGAGAGTCTATCTCGTTCCGAGACGCCTAGCCTTTTGGCCGGTAAGCTGCTCTCTAAGAAGATCAAATCAAAGAGGAAATCCAAGAAGCAGCTCTTCGAAGAGCGCGAGGCGCTCAAGAAGCATCAGTCTGATATTGAAGGATCTGAGGCGCCCGAAGACCGAGAAACGCCTGCTGCTGAGGACCCCAAGAAATCGGAACCTGTCGAGGAAGAGGAGGCCTATCAACCAGCTGCTGTACCGACGGACCTTAGTTTGTTCGCCTACGAGCCCACGAAGGCACTGCAACTTTCGCAAGATTCGAGCGCTAGCCTTGGACCGCTGCAAGATGTGGAGTTTTCCCCCGCAGACCTTCCCAACTTTGCCAAACTGCAGAAAAGGTTCCCTGTGGCTGATTTCGACGATCCTCTGCTGTGGCTATGGAGGCGAAACCGCGTGCGGGAGGTCAACAACCTGGATCAGTCGGCTGAAAAGAGCCTTGCGATTGAAGGGTACTATGTCCCCAATCCTACAGGTTGCGCCAGGACGGAGCCTATCAAGAAGATTCTCAATTCGGAGAAGTCCAAATACCTACCTCATCACATCAAGGTCCAGAAGGCCAGGGAAGCAAGAGAGGCTCGGGTACAGAAGGACGGCAAGACTGCGCCCACAACTGCTCCTGCTCCTGCCCCTACGAAGGGTAACTCGCGAGCCAATCGTGCCAACAACCGCAGACACGTCACGGCACTGCAAGACGAAATGAAGTCCTCGGGCGATCCCGACGTTTTCAAGTTCAACCAACTCAAGAAGCGCAAGAAGCCAGTCAAGTTTGCCCGTTCTGCGATCCACAACTGGGGTCTCTACACAGAGGAGAACATCAACAAGGACGACATGATCATTGAGTATGTCGGCGAGCAAGTCCGGCAACAGATTTCAGAAATTCGCGAAGTCAGGTACCTCAAGCAGGGCATGGGCAGCAGCTATCTGTTCCGCATTGACGAGAACACGGTCATCGACGCAACGAAGAAGGGCGGCATTGCCCGATTCATCAACCACAGCTGTATGCCCAACTGTACCGCCAAGATTATCAAAGTGGATGGCAGCAAACGCATTGTCATCTATGCACTTCGCGATATTGCACGAAGTAAGTCAAACCCTCCACGGTCTACATTGGGTATCCTCGTATGCTAACAAGATTTGCAGCTGAGGAGTTGACCTACGATTACAAATTTGAGCGAGAGATCGGCAGCCTTGATCGCATTCCATGCCTTTGCGGAACGGCTCTATGCAAAGGCTTCCTCAACTGATGGCCGTTATTGTGTGTGCTTTCGTTTCGTCGGGTGGGGCATTTTGTGCTTTCAAAGTCCGGGTTGCGTTGTTTTCACCTGCCTGCTCTGCTCTATATACGCAGGGTGCCCGGGACGTAAGGGGAGCTTGGAGGGAACAACAAAAAAGCGGTGTACAATGACATTCGACATGCGCCGAGGGGAGCATTCGGGCGTTTTGGGGTCATTTTTTTTATTTGTGTTTTCCAGAGAACTGCAGGCGATGGAGAGGCCTGTGCGAGGCGGGGGTGCACTCCTCACATGGCGTCAACCGCCACGTTTCTTTGCTCTCGACTCGGCAGAAAGATGCCTATGCCGATAATAGGGGCGGCAGTGATCGCTACCAGTGTACATATAAGAGGGCGGGGCTTCTCGCGGCGCACGCTGGGGATGAGAGGCCCGTTTTGCGGTCGCGGTCGGGCTGACATAGAGAGATGCCGTGGTGGTAGCTGGCAGAGGGCCAGCCAGTTGCAGGTTAGGGCATGAGATAGTGAATACCCCATGTCAGGATGAGTTGAAAGTCTTCTTCTTGGCTCGACGTGCAGTGCCTGTGACTGTTTCCGTACCCGTTCGCACGCCTGTCTTGGCCCTCGTCACCGGAGTCTGCCTCGGAGGTCAACAGACGTTCAGGGTCAGACCTCGTGCCCTTCTGCTTCAGCCTGCGCTTTGAGGGCAGAGTTACGAACGAAGGAGCTCAGTGGGTAGAGCGGCCCGCTAAAGTCCATGTCATACCAGTAGTTGACGGCGAGGACAAATCCCTCGTCCTCGGGGATGCAGAACTGCGAGACCTTGTGATACCACATGGCAGGCAGGTAGAGCATGTCGCCGGGCTCGAGCACAACGATCATGGGCCGCGCGAGGTGCGAGTAGGGCGTTGCATTCTCGTCGGGGCGGTCCGGGTCCCAGGTGGCGAAGGGGACATCTTCGGTGCCGTCACCGTCAGGTTCGAGGACGAGGGTGCCGTCATTGTCGGCGTCGGCTCCGCCGCCGGCGCAGCGGCGGCGGTAGGTGGCCGAGCGGAGCGGTCGCTCGTTGACGCAGGGGTGGCAGTGCGGGGGCAGCAGGGCGAAGCGCTTGCGGCCGCGGAGCTGGACGTAGAGGTTCTCGTAGTTGTCCTTGTGGAGGGCCGTCGTGGCGCGGGCGTTGCCGATCCAGAGGTTGAGGGCGTCTGGCTGTGGCTGGTCGAGGGCGATGCGGGCAAAGGGCAGGGAGCGGGGCAAGTGGTCGAGGTGGAAGAGAGGGGCGTACTCGGTGTGGAGGTTCGAGTTTTGGGTCTGGGCGTAGAGGACCTCGGGCGAGACGGCGGTTGGTGGCGAGGAAGAGAGGTCCTCGGCTGTTTGGGCGATGATGGTGTTGAGAAAGGTGTCGAAGCGCTGAGGCTCCTCGTGAGGTTTGGAGAGTGAGAGGATGCCGGTGGGAAGTGGCGTGGGTGCGTCAGCGTTCCTGAAGATCTTGTCAGTGACCACTCGCCGATCTGGTAAGGCTCTGTCACATCGAGCGGCCTACCCGTGTGGAGTGACGGCGACGTTGACGGACTGGCCCTCCAGTGTGTTCAGGAGGAAGTCTTTATCCCATCTCTTGTATGCCTCCCAAGATGTAGCGGCGTTGCGGACGACGAAGGGGGTGTTGCGGGCAACATATCTCATGAACTCCAGAGCGCTGGGCTCATCAGCAAGCTCCTCGATACGGTTGCTGTTGAGCTCATTGTAGGTTTTGATGAGATCGGCTATGTTATCTTCTGGCAATGCGCCCATGTCCGCGAGTTGTGGGGTAGGCTCACCTGTTCGTCGGAAGGTTGTTAGTCGAAGCTGTTCCGTTGAGCGTTCCGATGTTCTTGCCTGATATGGGTGCATTTGTGGTGTGGGGCCATTCTAACCTCACCATTTTACGACCAAACTGCTGTGTTACTACTTCTACTATGGGGGTCCTCAATGCCATGGCACACAATCAGTCGTGTCAGAATCCGATAGTTCATGAGCACTATGCTTTGAGACATAAATCTGCGTCCATCATGCGATAGGGCATTGCTCAATCCGAGACGACCCTTTTCACATCGTCCCGACTGACTTCACATTCAAGTCCAATACAAGGCAACGAGCCAAACCAGCAAAAAGTGGCTAAATGATAATCATACCCTAGGATTCAACCCCATGTAGCCAGCATCTATGCTTCATGAACGCATCTAGGATAGGCCTGCTGCATTATCTTTGACAGACTCTTCCATGCTCCTGAATCCTTGGCCGAACGTCTCTTTCAACAGGCTGTCTGCCCTCTGGGTCGGTACGAAGGTGCAAAGATCCCGAGCGTCATCTGGAAATGCTTCCCAGTTTCTGTCTTTGTGTAGTTTGCGCAATATGTCAATGATACTGTTCATGTTAAAGGGCCCAGCAACGGCGAAAATCCGTTCATTCTGAACCTCAGGGTGAGCCAGTGCAATGACATGAAGGCGTGCATCATCCTGGACATGGACATAGTGCTGAGGCAGGATATGCTCCAGTCCCTTGTAGTCCTTGTCCCAGACTTTCTTAACCCACCCGGCTGTGGTTGGGTAGCCCTGGTGGGCAGTGCTGAGCACTGGGCCAATGTTCGCATTAGGCTGGACTGAAAGTCACCGAGGTCAGTCGCACGTGTCTTTCCACTCTATCGGGCAAGAAGGGCATACTTGTATTGACGATCAATGAAGGATTGTTCTCCTCGGCCCACTTGGCGATGGCTCGCTCTGCTTCCACTTTACTGCAGGCATACACCGATGTGCCGTCCGGATCTGGTTGCCAGGCGCGCTCGACAGCTTCGTCGTTGAACGTGTCTGCCGTGACAGAAAAGCGTTTTCCTGGCTTGGGCAACGTCACTGCGAAGGAAGACGAGGTGAAGACGAATCTCTTCATGCACGGCTCTTTGGCTGATGCCTTGAGCGCGTTAAGGGCTCCAGCAACAGCCCGAGGTATGGCGATTTTGGGGTCTGACACTCCTGTCATGTCGTTTGCCACATGAATGAAACCAGACGCTCCTGTTGATGCCCGAGAATGTTATCAACGTCATGGGAGCGCACAGGCGTGGGTTCATACCTGCAACGGCATCGTCGAAAGCACCATCGACATCCATGTCTGGTACCTGAATGAGCTCGAATTTCTCCGGCCCGTACTGCTTTGCGAAGAACTCGTTCATCCACGCACTCCTTTGCAGATTTCGGGTAGTGCCTCGGACCTTGTAGCCTGCGGCAAGTACCTGGTCTACGATGTGAGATCCAATGAAGCCACTGGCTCCAGAGATGACGACAACGCTGCCGTACGGCACGGCTGGCTCCTTGATACTGGGAATGCCCATGGTTGACTTCAAGGTCGTATTGTTTTGGAGGGTTCAAAGAGCTCAGGATCGGTGAAGTTATGGTGGTTAATGTTTGAATAGAAAAGTACGGGCAATCAGCTCGAATACTTGGATGCACAATGATAAAAGACGCCGATCAGGTACAGTCTATGACACAATATGTGACCGATGATCCTCCCGGGCTGCAGGACAACCCCGCTATCCCCTACTGAGCAAGAAACCACCAAATACCGTCGTCTTGACCATCAAACTTGGGGGCGTCGACCCTAATGAAAGGGTTGGCTATATCGTTTTATTATCACCGAGGGAAATATCTTGTTGAATGTGTTGTCATTGTCTGGCGTATTGGGGGGTAACCAACCTGGTCAGCACTCTTTCCATATCAGTCAGGTCATCAGCCTTGTATGCCAGCTGCTTCCTGTCACAAGCAGGTACACCACCAGGGGACACAAGCCGATTTTCTCAAAGCTGTTGCCGACAAGGTGATATGCTGAGGACGAAGGAGGGACCTTATTGTGGCAGGCAGGCAGGCAGGCAGGCAGGCACCATGGAGCTGGGTATCATCATAAATTCTGGTGCTACCAGAGGTCCTAGGGAACCCTTGACTCCAATACCTACCTACCGTACCTCAGATAGGTAGGACCCTGCTTACTCGGCACACATCGTTTGACGCGGCAAACATGGACGAAACGACAATGGAACATTCGGCATGTCCCAATCCATGGGAACCAACCACAGCCAGCGACTGCATGTGTCCGTTTTCGCTTCCACCGATCACAGGGTCTGGCGTGTTGGGGTCCTTGCGGCACGCTGGCCCACCAATCAGACCGTGGCACTCTGTGGGAAATGGCCTGACTTCTGAGCGGGCTCAGCTGATTATGATGATGCTCGAAGACATGCCATTTCACGAGAAGCCAGAATTGGGGCCTGGACCATGTGGCATCCCGTACGTGAGTGCAGATGCCATTCAGAAAAGGCGCTGATCGAAACGTGGCAATCTTGATTAGATGGCCGTGTTCGGGAGACCAGGGAACATATAACGAACCCGTCCCTCCCACATTTTTGACAAGGCGTCCATCGGGTCGCTGCGATCCTCCGCTCCCTGGAGCCGCCGACCTCTGTGTTTTCGAGCTCTCACTTGTTGCTTGAGAGATAGCGTGCAAAGGAGACATCAGCGAACTCCGACCGCCGAGTCCTGGACATGGAGGCACCCCAATCGAAACGTCCACCACAGGGTCCATCCCCTCCTCGAACAGGAACAGCCAAGCCACGATTTGCGCAGCAAACATGACGGGCAAGGCTTCCATTGGTTCTTGCGCAGCAGCCGTCTCGTGTGTTTGGGTGCTTGATTGAGAGGCCCCTCGACACTAGGCACACATCGACGCGAGACAAAACCGAGTCCTTCAAGCGAAGGAGAGAATTGACACGCCTCTCACGACCAACGAAGGGAAGCTGCAAAGCACAGCCCTCGCGACCTTCTGCTGTCCAACCCCCCCCGAAGCCCTTTCGAGTCTCGATTGTGGCCCCGGCGACAGGCAACTCGAGAGGAGAGTGGGAGAGGAGACGTCAGTGGCACAGCCCCAACAAACTACCTATGGGACAGTGTCTCGACATGTTTCACTGACTGGAGAAGTGCGTGCCGAGCTGCCTAGCGGAATCTTGCCAGGGTTTTAGGCCCCTTTACAAGTCATTTCGAGGTTGGGCTGCCAGAGATGCATCAGACGGATGATCAATCGACGCTTGGCAGGTTCTAAGCAGAGGGCAGCGGAGATCTAAGCTGATCCAAAGCAGATCCAAAGCAGGGCCAAGCGAAGATGGGACGCTGTTCAGGCGACTCTAGACCCTCGGTCTAGGTAACGCAGGTAGGTGGGCGGCCCAGACC